GCCCGCACTCTTCCTGCTCCTGCCGGCCTCGCGCTTCCCTGAGTGTGCCCTCTGCTTGGCAAGTGTGAGTAGCAAACTAGTTTTCAGTGGCAGTCCTCTGATCTGTTGGCCTGACTGCATATGAATAAAAACAAAGTCCTGGGTGTGAATTAAGATATTGTTATATCTTATAGGAATATAGAAGCCCTATTGATTTTTCTATTGTATTTGGCAGCCTAGCCAAAACTTACTAATTCTAATAGCTATTTCATAGTTTTCATTGGATTTCTTCTTCTTCTTTTTTCCTTTTGCAGTGCTAGGGATCAAACCCATGGTCCCCTTGATCTACACAAGTGCTGTGCCCTGAGACACACTTCCAGTCCATTGGATTTCTGAATACACAGTCATGCCATTGGGAATAAAGACAGTTTGACTTCCTCTTCAGTCTGGATGTCCTTCCTTCTCCTTCAGTATAATGTTGAATAGAGAGTGAAAGTGAACGTGTGCTATCTTGATCTTAGAATTCGTTTTTCAGCATTTTTATGTGCTGTATATGTAGAGTTTTTGTTTTTATAAATGTTCTTATTTGGTTGAGGAATTTCCTTTGTGTTCCTAGCTTGCTGAGGTTTTTTTTTTTTTTAAATCAGGAGCAGATGTTAGATTTTGTCAAATGCCTTTACTACATCTATTGAGATGACATAAGGTTTTTCATTTTTTTGTTTGTAATACGGTGAATTATTTGATGTCAAATGTTAAGCTGAAATTGCAGTCTGGAATAAACCCCCGTTGGTTGTGATATATTATCCTTTTTATGTACTCCTGGATTTGATTTGCTAATATTTTGGTTAGAAATTTTGCATCTTAAATTCATGCAGGATATTGGTCTGTAGTTTTCTTGTAATACATTTTGTTTGTTTGTGTTTTTTTTAATAGGGTAATGTTGGTCTCATGGAATGAGTTAACAAGAGTAATTCCTTCTTTATCAATTTTCTGGAAGTGTTTGTCTTCCATGTGTAGTGTTTTCCCATTAAGTGTTTTGTTGAATTCATTGGCAAAGCCATCTGGTCTTGGAGTTTTCATTGTGGGGAGGATTTTAATGAAAATTTCAGCTTAATAGATATAGAGCTAGTAAGGCTATTTCTTCTTGAAAGTTGTTGGTAGTTTGTGTTTTTTGAAGAATTTGCCAATTTCGTTTACCTTGTTGTATAAGTAAATAATACAACTAGTAAATACTGTTTCTATTATTTCCTGTTATTCTTTCAGTGTCTGTAGAATCTGTAGTGATTGCTAGTCTCAGTACTGATACTGGTAAATTGTGATCTTTCTTTTCTTGATTAGTTTGGCTAGAGGTTTGTCACTTTCATTGTACCTTTTAAGTAATCTTTTTTTCTGTTTTTTTCTTTTCCAGATCATTTAATTTTGCTATGCTCTTTATGATTTAATTTCTTTTACTTTTGGTTTAACTCGCGGCTCTGTCTGGTAAAGTGGATGCTGAGAACACTACAGCTTCTCTATACTGTAAATTTACCACAGGTTCTGCTTTAGTAGCATCCTAACATTTTGATATATTTTTATTTTCACTCAGTTCAAATACTTTATAAATTCCCATTTGATTTCTTCTTCACCTACAGGTTCTTTGTAAGTATTCTAGTTTCTGAATATTTGGGTATTTTCCAGAAGTTACTTTGTTATTGGTACCTGATTTAATTTTATTGTGTTGAGATCATTTACTTTGTGTGTCTTGAGTCCTTTCAGATTTGTTGAGACTTACTGTATGTCCTCAAACATGGTCTGTCTTGGTAAAGACGCCCCATGTGCTCTTAATAAAAAAATATGTTAATAAAAAAGAATGTGTATCTTGCATTGGATGGGATGGTCCATAGACACGAGTTAGGCCAAGGTGGTCAATAGTGGTGTTCCAGTCTTCAGTGTTTCTGGTTTCTTTGTTCTGTCTGTAGTTGAGAAAGGGATATTGAAATTTCTGAGTATAATTGTGGAACAGTTCCTTTTGGTTCTGTCAGTTTTTGCATCATGCATTTCGAAGCAATGTTAATTGCATCAGTGGTTATGTCCTCTTAGTGAATTGATCTCTTCATTATTATGAAAGAACCTTTACACCTGGTAATATTTATCACTCTGAAACCTACTTTTCTGATTGTACTATAGCTAGTATTTGGCCTTGATAGGTGCTGGATATTTTCGTATTGTTATAAATATTCTTTGGCTTAGTTCTGCGATTCAGTTAAATCAGTTGGAAGCCACTTGGCCTTTCTGAGGCTTGGCCCTTGGGCTTTGCAAGCTGGGCCTGAAGCAGTGCTCAGTCTAGGAGCAGCCATTTCCGCTGCACCCTTCTGAGGATTCTGCCTGGTCCCTTTAAGTTGCCAGGTTTTTACAGTCTGTTGGTGGCCCGGTCCCAGCCTGTGTGAGACCTGCTGCCTTTGAACCTCCCAGCTGCTTCTCTCCAAGCGGCCGCCCTCCGTTTTGTGTAGTTTGTAATAGAATACCACAGACTGGGTAGTTTGTAGAGAGAAGAAATTTATTTTTCACAGTTCTGGAAGCTGGAAGTCCCACATGCAGGTGTCAGTGTTTGGTAAAGGCCTCCGTACTGTGCGACCCACAGCGTAAGGATAACGGAGCAAGAGAGAGGAACCTCATGACCTGCTCACCTTAGGGCTCCAGCCTTGGGGGACTGATGTGTTGTGGATTAAGTTTACAACACATGAACATTCAGACCACAGCACCAGCCTTGGGTGATTTGATTTCTTCTCAGGCATGTGTACTGATCAGTATTTTGCTGAGCACTTGAGTTTCACCCTCCACAGATCTCTCCAGGGTTTTGGGGGGTTTTTTTTGTTTTTTTGTTTTTTTGTTTTTGGTACCAGGGATCAAACTCAGGACCTTGTGCTTGCCAGGCAGGCGCTGTGCCTCTGTGCTACATCCCCAGCCCTTCTGCCGTTTTCTCTATATTTTCCGCCCGACCTTCTCATTGGTGACCTTAGCCCATGTGTTCCTTTCTGGCTGTTGGCCCTGCCCAGGTTCCCTCTTCCTGCCTGCTTGGAAACTCTCAGAGCAGCTGAAGGACTCATTCACAGGACTCTCCTTGTTTCTGTCTCCCAGGGACCAGTGCTCTGTGTTTTTTGCTATTCAGTGGCTTGGAAACAGTCATTCCTTATGTTTTATGTGGTCATTTCGGTTGTTTGAGGTGGGAGAGTGAATTAGTCCCTGTTATCCCAACCTTTACTGGAAGTAGAAGTGCCAAGAGTATGTTTGTGCAAGTATGATTTAATAAAGGCATTCCCTTGTGTTGGTCAGTTGTGGAAGGCTTGTGGCATTTTCTTCAGTGCCATCTGACTCATGATAATGTTTGCCTACCAGAATTAACAGTGTGGTGATGTGAGGTAAAGAAGTGGGACTCGGGAAGAGTAGATGTAGGAGTCGTGTTTCTAAGTTGGGCAAAATGCAAATAAAATTAGCAATGCAATAAAATTTTGATCAATCTAAGAGTTCCTAGTGCAGGGAATACTCAGAAATATTACTGGAAGAGAACCGGGGCCCATCAGTGGCAAGGCAAAAAAAATAATAAAATCAGCTATTGCTTTCTACATCCTGCCAGATCTGACTTCCAAGAGTTTGTTTTGTTAAACAAATTTCTATCTATGTTCATACTTTTTTCTTCTATTATCTTTATCCAGTTTTAGGATTAGCACAATGTTGAGTTCCTAAAATGAGGGGAGAAGTCTTCCTTCTTTTTTCTGCTTTAATTGTTTGATATAATTTATCAGTTAAAATGTTTATGAGCCTGCTGTTGTCATATAGGTAGGTTTTCAAGCTAGGAATATACTTTCTTTAATAGGTGCTATTCAAATTTGATATTTCCTCCAGAGTTAGTTTCATTAATTTGTCTTCTAAGTTACTTCTTAGAAGTTGTCAAATTTATTTCAAAACAGATTTTTGTAATATGCTTTCTCTATCCTTTTAAATCCTGTAAAATCTGTGGTAATGTCTCCTAGATCTTAATATTGCAATTTAAAAAATGTATAACTGATATTATGTAACAGGAAGAAAAAGTCTGAAAGAGCAGGGGAATTGGGAGGGGTAGGGGAAGGGAAAAAAGGGAAAGGAAAAAATATGAGAAGAGGGAAAAAATGGAAACAAGGTCTTTGGAAATAGGGAAGGGTGGAGAGGGTGAAGGGAGGGCAAGGGAAGGGGGAAAAAAATAAGAACCAAGATACTCATGTAATGGTACAAGATCCCAATGATGAATGTAACTGTATTTTATACCTAAAATGTACCAATAAAGTTAATGGGGAAAAAAATTTTTTTAAAAATCAGCTATTGCAAGTGTAGACAATAACAACAATCAACCAGATATCCCAACTACGGTGAAATTAAATTTATACAAAACTTACCAATACAAAATGTGTGATTAGATATGGCATTTACTCTGAAGTTTTCCTTGGTTTAATATAGCTATTATAAACTAATAATTTTGAAGTAGTGAAAAGAGGTATTTGTATTTTAAATGGATTGTTACATGCTCAGAAGTAGGTACGATCTAAAATGAACTGTTTCCTATTTTTCAGAAGTAGCTCTCTACAAACGCTTAACACATTAATTACAGATTCGTTTCCATTCTTTGGAGGAAGACCCCAAATAATCTTCATTAAATGAATTAGCCTAATGTGAATTACTATTACCATATGTATTTGAGAAAATCATAAATACATTTATTTTAAATATGTTATAACTTTAACATTTTTCTTTCTTTTATTTTAATGTAACACAAGTAGATACTAATAAAGAAAACATATAAAAGCACTCTTCTTCTATGAAAAAGTAAAATAAAATTTTATAACAAAGTAATTAATGATGCTAGCCTGACTCTTACTTAGAGCACCTGGGAAGAATAAAGTTGTATAGGTAGTGATTTCACTTTCATTTTCTTCTCAAATAAATATTTAATCAGATATTTAAAATTGATACTATATGTGTTCTTAAGCATGATTTGTAATTTCTTACAGATTTGTGGGATCGCTGGGTACAATCATCATAAAATGTAAAGATTTTCGAATTATTCAGTTGGATATTCCTGGAATGGAGGAATGTTTAAATATAGCCAGTTCCATTGAGGTAAGTTTTGTGTCTGTGTGTGTGTTTGTGATGAGAAGGTTATTTTGTCTTTTTTTTAAAGTGCATGTTAGTGACACAGAATGGTGATGTTTGTTTGGAGAGTTTGGTACATGAATTTAACATAGCTTGATGATTTTTAAGTCTCATTACTCCTCTCTCCCATTCCTGATCCCTTTTGCTATCTCCAAAATTCTGCCTTCTAGTTTCCTGTCATCTCTCATTCATTCATTCATTCATTCATGGTTTCTCACATAAGAAATCGTGCAGTATTTACCTTTCTGAGTCTGGCATATTTCACTTAGCATGATGGTCTCCAGTTCTATCCATTTTCCTGGACATGACATGATTTCATTCTTCTTTATGGCAGAATAATTACCCATTGTGTATATAAACCACATTTTCTTTATCTGTTCTTGGACATCCAGGCTGTTTCCATAGTTTAGCTGTGGCAGATTGCAGTTATAATTATCACTGTAGTATGGTACCTTTAATTCTTTGGGGAATATACCCAGGAGAGGCACAGCTGGATTAAATGGTGGCTTTATTTTTAGTTTTTTGAAGACTGTTCATACTGATTTCCTTAGTGGTTGTACTAGTTTACATTCCTACCAGGAATATAGGAGAGTCCTTTTTTTCCTTATATCATTGCCAGCATTTGTTGTCTTTTGTATTCTTGATGGTCTAACTAGGGTGAGATGGAATCTCAATGTAGTTTTAACTTGGATTTTCCTAAAAGCTAAACATGTTGAACATTTTTTCATATACTTATTGACCATTTGTACTACTTTTTTTGAGAAGTGTGTGTTCAGTTCATTGCCTACTAAGTGATTGGGCTCTTTGGGTTTTTTGATGTTAAGTTTTTTTAGTTCTTTATATATTCTAGGTATTAATCCTCTGTTAATAGTAATTGGTAAAGTATTTCTCCCATTCTGTAGACTGTCTTTTCACTCTGTTGATTGTTTCCTTTGCTATGCAGAAGCTTTTGTTTTGTTTTCTGGTACCGGAAATCAAACTCCGGCCCTTGCGCTTGTGCAGCAGGCAGTGAAACCACTGAGCTAAATCCCTGGCCCTGCAGAAGCTTTTTAACTTGACATAATCCCATTTATTGATTCTTCATATTTCCGGTGCTGTTGGCTTTCTATTCAGGAAGCATTTGCCTGCGCTGTGGCTTCCAGTGTTTTCCTTGAATTATCTTCCAGTGGTTGTAAAGTTTTTGTTTTATATCTAGATCTTTGATCCATTTTAATTTTATTTTAGTACAGGCTGAGAGGGATCTAGTTTGAATCTTCTGCATGTTTTCCTAGTACCATTTTTAAAGAGGCTCTCTTTTCCCCAGTGTATGTTTTTGGCCCCTTTGTCAGAAATCAGATGGCTTGGGTACATGGGTTTGATTCTCTATCTTCTGCTCTATTCCAGAATAAAGGAATTCCTTGGGTATTTTTTTTTCCATTAAGTTTATTGGTACATTTTAGGTATAAAATACAGTTACATTCATCATTGGGATCTTGTACCTTTACATGATGTATCTTGGTTCTTATTTTTTTTTCCCTTCCCCTGCCCTCCCTTCACCCTCTCCACCCTTCCCTATTTGCAAAGACTTTGTTTCCACTTTTTTTCTTTTCTCATATTTTTTCTTTTCTCTTCTTTCCTTTCCCCTACCCCTCCCACTTCCCCTGCTCCTTTAGCCGTTTTCTTCATATTACACAGTATCAGGTATACATTTTTAAAATTACAATATCAAAATTTAGAGGACATTACCACAGATTTTGACATTCCTTGTTTAACAAAGCAGTTTTGTCCCTGTGAGTAGGTTATTAAATGAATTGGTCGCCAAATGAGAAATTGTGTTTGGTATGTCTATTACAATATTCAGAACAAAGAAATGTTCAAAGGAAACGCCAACTTGATGACTTTGCTTTTATTTGCATAACTTTTAAATGCAGTACTGTAATGTATAACACAACATAATACTGTACTATATAGTGCAATCAGCAAAAATTACAGTACTGTCTGAACAAGGTGTACTATACAAAAAAAGACGTTGAGGCTCTATAAACAGAATGTACAGAACTGTACAAAAGAAAAAAAATGATAGGTCATAAATCCAAATAGCTCACCTAGGTCGTAAGTCCAGTCATTAAGTGGGTAGGTTGTTAAATGAGGAATATTTATACATGGCCTATAAGTCCGTTTTTGTTATTATGGCTTTGTAGTATAACTTGATAACTGCCATTGTGATATCTCTGGCATTGCTTTTTTGCTCAGAAGTGCTTTGGCTATTCTGGATCTTTTTCTAATTTCATATGAATTTTAAAATAGGCTTTTTCTAGTTCTGTGACAAATGTTGGTATTTTAATAATAATCACATTGAATCTGTAGATCACTTTTGGTAATATGGCCATCTTCACAGTACTAGGTCTTCCAGTCCATGCACAAAGGAGGTCTTTTTATTTTCTAATGTCTTTGATTTCTTTCTTCAGTGTTCTATAATTTTCATTGTAGAAGTCTTGTACCTTCTTGGTTAGGTTGATTCCTAGATATTTTGTTTTATTTTATTTATTTTTGTGGTACCTGGGATAGAACTCAGGACCTTGCACTTGCAAGGCAGATGCCTGGCATTACTGAGCTAAATCCCTGGCCTGATATTAAATTTTTTTGTAGCTACTGTGAATGGAATTATTTTCCTGATTTCTTTCTCAGTGGAGTCATTATTGGTGTACAAGAACCCTTTTGCTTTTTACATGTTTTTTTGTATTACTCTGGAGGCAAAATATGCTGGCAGAGACAAGTTACATTCTGATGGCAACAGCTTGTGTGCTTCTTCATCCGAGACTTGCTCATGCTCTTTGACTCTGGTTCTGAAGACTGATGGGAAGTGTCACCTGATTCCGTGTTGTATGAGTGCAATAGGGCTTTTGTTTACTTTAGCAGTTTTCAGTATTACTTGTTTTATCTGAGTAACCCTGATTCCATGAACTGCTTAAAATTCCAAGGAGTTGTATTGCAATGACTTTATAAGAATCTCATGAGTTCGTATTGGCCAGGTAAAAGACATGGTTTCATGTGAGTACTTTTGAGTATTTCTTTACAGAACCGCTAGAAATTTAGCAAGGAGGTTCTTAGGGACATCTTGGAAGTCCTGCTTTGCACTTCTTGTTGCTGTATAAATCTTGGTCTCTGCTCTGTGTCAGACAGCTGTGAACATCTTTTCTTCTCTGACGGGTTTGTCCAAGTGACGCACCTTGTGGAATTTTAATCCACTGAGCAAGTCGGTCAGAGCACTGTAGTGGGCAGCTCCTCGTGGGCTGTGAGAGCTGCCCTGCTGTTTAAATTATGTTTGAATTATGTTTGAATTAGTGACTGCTGTTTGAATTACGCTAACTGGGGCAAGTACCCTCTTTTTTCCCAACTGTAGAAATACTTTTTCCTGTGCTCCCTGGTCAGAAGGATGAATCAATCTGCCAGGTGAGGGAAGGTGTTCCTTCTCTCTGTTTCTCACAGGTTTTCCTGGTTTGTCGCCCAGAATTCACATGCTCCAGATAAATGTATGCCCGCTGGGACCACAGAGCTCTTGCTCCCCGGGGCCCTGTGAGGGGGACACTGTTATTTCCTCCATTGTACAGCGGAGGACACTGAGGCATAGAGAGTTACGTGACTGAGCTGCTGCTGCACAGCTGGGTTGGAACTTGAGTCCCGCAATCTGACTCCTGCCCACTGGGCTGCATCGTGCTGTTGTATAGTTACTGTTGGGCACTGGTTATAAATAATGTACTTGTTTATATAGCTAATAATGGATTAGCTGTAACTAGCCAAAAACTCTTTGTACTCTGACCCCCAGACATTCCAGGACCTTTTTTTATAGCTTTATTCAATTGTGTCAAGAGGAGTTATTTCATTTTTGTCCTAGAATAGGTGTGCACGATTTCTGTTCACTTTTTCATTCAGTGTGAGATGCCTTGTTAATGCTACAAGCATGGAGCTTAGCTCACTAAGACTATAATTGTGTCAAGCTATGCATGTAGCAGTAGGGTGCCTATCATTGCGAGGCCCCGTGTGCCTGCCACCACTCCGTCAGTGAGAATGTGCTTCGACTGTGGCGTGCTCTGTTTCTCCTTCTGCTCCCAGGCGCTGTCTACCCTGGACTCCATCACTCTGATGTACCCCTTCTTCTACCGGCCAATGTTTGAGGTGATAGAAGATGGCTGGCATTCCTTCCTTCCTGAGCAAGAGTTCGAGCTCTACTCTTCCGCTGTGAGTAACCTTCGAGAACTGTGGGCTCTCAAATCCATAGCATTGTTCATTACTCGTGGTAAAGAGAAATAACCCAACTCCTTACGGTGCTTGTGAAAATGATCACTTCCCTTTGAGAGTATAAGCTGCGGTTAATGTACCTGTGCCCAGAAGAAGTGTCTATTACCTGTCGGTGCTGCAGCCAAAATGCTTTTTCTTCTATGAGGTTAATATAGGCCAAATATTACTTTTTAAATTTTGGAAATTATAGTGGTAAAACATTTAAGATATGCGTAAAGATAGTCCTGGGAAATTACATGGTAATTATTGAGTATTTTAAAATGTCTCCTTAGAACAATTTTATATGTAGTAATTAGATGCAGAAGTGAACCCGTCTTTGCAGCTACAAGTCACCATTCAAGTCAGCCCCCGGCACTGTTCACTAACTGAAAAACTAACTATAACCTTACCCAATCCCATCTCTCATGTCTCCAAAAGACATGTGGTATTGAGAAGAGAGGTCCGAGACATGCGTGGATAGTAAAGGAAGAAGATCTGATATTTAAGAAAGATGTTACCAGCCTTACTTGATGTAGGTGGTAGCTGTTTCAGTCTGTTCTACGTAAGCTGTGTCTGGGGCATCAGAGTCTTACTGTGCTGTTTTAAGGTGACCATAACAACCTGAACAGACCCAGAAAAGGACAGTAGGATGAGTTGACCACAGTAATCATGGATAAGCTCGACATATTTAACTTGGCGAACAGAAGACTTCCAGGGAAATAACCATCAAATCCGGTGTCATGTGAAATAGGGAACTGAAGCTGTATTGTCTGAAATCGTGGTTACAAAAAACTGATAGAGGAAGTTGTAGAGCAACAGGTTTTGCTCAATGCGAGGGAGAACTTTCTAGGAACTTTCTAGGGTAGCTAGCAGTGTGGGAAGCTGGCCTTCAAGAGCGGAGCTTCTTGTCTCTGGAAATATTAAGGGTAGGGTACGGATCCTTCAGTTAGATCCCTGAGACGTGGCTTCTCATTCATGAAAAGTGTTCTTTCAGGACCTTTAAACTTTTTCAGATTATTTTTCGACATTACGGTACTTGCTTAGCTTTGAAGTGTTTTGTGTTTTCCAGACCAGTGAATGGAGGCTAAGCTATGTCAATAAGGAGTTTGCTGTCTGTCCTTCGTACCCACCAATTGTCATAGTGCCCAAATCCATTGATGATGAAGCTCTTCGGAAAGTAGCTACATTTCGACATGGAGGGCGCTTCCCAGTGCTAAGCTATTACTACAAAAAGAATGGAATGGTAAGTGTGCAGAACTACTCCCCAAGCTGCGAGAGGCTTACACGGGGGTCTTTAAGGAATGTCCTCTTTCTCTGCCATTCTGTTCCTGGAACTGTTTATCCAAGTCGCCCACCAGGATTTCCTTAATGGAAACTCCAGGGAATGAGGAGGAAGATGCTTTCTCTGATGAGGGTGCGGCTGGATTCTTTCTGCTAGCTGCTCACCCTTAGGAAAGCCCAGATAGATTTGCCTTCAGGATGCAGTGCAACGAAAACCAGTGTTGATTTGATGTCTACACCGACATTGTTAAGGTAGAAAAATGAGAAATTTCTCTGCCCGGGCTAAGGGTGAGGTGCTTTAACCATTCTCACCAAGTTTCTATGGGAAAGGCTCATTGAGCAGGTGTTTCTGTTTTCAAAAGAGGAGAATGGTACCCGTCATTCACCCTACTTCAGAAAATACAGAAGTCGAGATGGAATAGGCAAGGGCTTTGGGGTATTAGTTTTCTAAATATTTCTAAGTTACTTTCCCCTCTCATTTTTTCCCAGTCAGTAAATTCTGCCTGTCATTTTGAGACCAATAATAAATTTGTGGCTAATTATAGCTGTCTTCTCATTTTTCCTTTCCCCATGATAATATGCAAAAAAGGGATATTTAGTGTAAACATATTTTTAAAAATCTGTTGCTTTGAAATAACTCTAAACCGTTCACCAGGGAAGAGATTAATATGATAGATACTGATTTCTTGGGGAAAATTTTGAAAGCAACCCTTTAAAATGTGTAGCTGGTGGTCTTTGGAGATGCACGGGTAAGTCCTGGGATACAGAGCAGGGGGCAGAGGGTCGGTCACTGGAGAATAACACCGGACAAGCAGCTTTCCAGGAACAAAATTATTCCCAGATAACCTTCTGATTTTGTGCTTGGAGCCTTTTCTCTTGCAAATCCTTGCAAAACCAGCCAACCCTATGTATATGCAGTTGAGATTGGAGGGAAGTCTTACACTTACCCTTTTTCCTGAAGGTCCGTTGATGTTAGTCAATCAAATAATAAGAGGAAAAGAACATAGGAATCTTGTCATGTGCCTGAGCACAGGCATGTGAGGCCCCCAGAGCAGCAAGGGGGCTGAGCCTTAGGTGGAGCGAGACAGGAGAAGGTGTTGGGTTCTGGGTACGGAGGCAGCCCAGACTGGGGAAGGTTAGGGGTGTGCACTGCAAGCAGGGTTGGCTCCTATGAGGGGAAGTCTCCCAGGTGACAGCCACCTGTGGCCACCTCTCTGTGCCAGCTGTCAGGCCTCTCCTGGTGCTAAGATCCCTCGAGGCAGAAAGGGCTTGGGGGCATCCGCTAAAAAGCCCCTCCCTGTATCACTGTTCACTAATGTAGACAAACATTTCTTTTTACTGGGAAATGAACGTAGGGCCTTGCACTTGCTCTGTCACAGAGCCATATCCCCAGGCCTTTTTAAAACTTACTTTTGAGACAGGATCTCACTAAGTTGCCCAGGCTCACCTTGAACTTGCCATCCTCCTCCTCAGCCTCCAGGGTAGCTGGGATTCAGTTGTGTGATGCCACACTCAGCCAACAGACAGCTTTTCAGAGCCATTTCTGTGTCTGCAGAGGTCTGCAGTTTATTGGGAGTGGGACAGTTTACTCTCCCATAAAATCAAGGCCATCACTGTCTTCATTACAGGGCCAGGTCTACCAGTTGTTCGCATTCATGAACTAGCTGAATTGTAACATTTTGTCTTAAAGAGAGCATATAATTTCCTTTGTACTTTGAGATAGCAGGATGAAAAATTGTGGAAAAGTGAAAATTAACTATTGTCACTGCGTGTAAATATTTGTTTCTCTGATCAGATCCATTCCAAATTGTTTTCAGGATTCCCTGTTCCCCTTTCTGTTTTTAGAAATTTTAACAGCCACTGCTATTGAACTGTCGGAATATTGTGCTTCCAGGTAATTATGCGGAGCGGCCAGCCACTCACTGGCACGAATGGGAGAAGGTGCAAGGAAGATGAGAAGTTGATAAACGCTACCCTCAGGGCAGGCAAGCGTGGCTACATCATTGACACCAGGTCTCTAAACGTGGCCCAGCAAGCTAGAGCCAGAGGAGGCGGCTTCGAGCAGGAAGCTCATTATCCGCAGTGGCGACGAATTCACAAATCCATCGAGAGGTGAGACTGGAGGTGGGCAGGACTCCTGGGAAACTAATTGCAGTGAGTGAGTCCTTAGGGTACAGAAATCACAAGTGTTCAAGTGAACATGCGTTTTACTTTGGGGTGAGGGCCGAGGATTTAGCTCAGTGGTTTTGCTGCCTGCCTCGCAAGCGCAAGGACCCGAGTTCAATCCCCGGTACCAAAAAAAAAAAAAATTGGGGGTCAATAATTGGCTGGATAACTCTTCTCATTGTGTTCTGTTTTGGGGTCAGCTCAATTTAGGCTTAATTCGCAAAAATTGCATATATTATGGCACGTGATGTGCAGTTTTGACAGCCTATAAGTTGTGAAATGAATAAAACAATCTAATAAAAGTTCATCGTCTCACATACTTAATTTTTTGAGTGAGAACATCTAAGATCTACTTTCTTAACAATTTTCTTTCTTTCTTTCTTTCTTCCTTTCTTCCTTTCTTCCTTTCTTTCTTGAGACAGGGTCTTGCTGTGTAGTTCAGGCTGGCCCTGGACTCACTGTGTACCCCAGGCTGGCCTCAAACTCACGGCGATCCTCTTGCCTCAGCCTCCCAAGTGCTGAGATTATAGGCGTGCGCCGCCAGGCTTGGCCTTAGCAGTTTTCAAGTACATGGTACATTATTTCTAGCTGTAGCCACCATGCTGTAGACCCAGCTCCAGAACTCACTCCTCCTGAGGGGCTGCAGCTCTGTACCCTTTGACCAACACCTGCCCACCTCCATGCCTGCCTCCGCCCTGGTAACCACCATTCTACTTTCTGCTTCTTTTGAGTTTGTCTTTGTAGATTCCACATAAAAGTGTGACTGTGCAATATTTGTCGTTCTGTTTCTGGCTTACTTCATTAACTCTAACGTCTTCCGGGTGTGTCCATGTAGTTGCAAATGGCAGACTTTCCTTCTTTTTTAAGGCTGAGTAGGAGAATCCACTGCAGATATGTACTGCATTTTCTTTCCCATTAACCTGTTGATTGATGCTTATCTTCGCTCTTGCAAATAATACTACAGTGACCATCGGAGTGCAGACACCTCTTTGAGATCCTCCTTTCATTCCCTCTTGGTTATACCCAGAAGTGGGACTGCTTGCTTGCATGGTAATTCTGTGTTTAGTGTGCTGGGAGCTGTGCTATAGTTTTCCCTCGTGGCTGCACTAGTTGATACTCCTGCCAACAGTAAGGGGTCCCTTTTCTCCACATTCTTTACCAACACTTATCTTTTTGATAATAGCTGTTCTAATAGCCACAAGATGGTATCTCATTGTGGTCGTAATTTACATTTCCCTGATACTTAACTATGCTGAGTATCTTTTAATATACCTATTAACCATATGTATGTCTTCTTTTGAGAAATGTCAATTTCAGGTACTCTGCCCCTTTTTTCGGTTGTTTTCTTACTATTGAGTTGTTTTGAGTCCTATCTATATTTTGGATTTTTACTCCTTATTTAATGTATTCTATTTCCTCCCTTTCTGCAAGTTTTTTCTTTACCCTTTTGAGCATTTTCTTTGCTATTCAGAAGCCTATTTTTGCTTTTGTTGCTTGTGCTTATTTTTGACATATCCAAAGAATCTTTGTCCAGAATAATGTCAGGCAGTTTTCCCCTTATGTTTTCTTCTAATGGCATTACCGTTTCATGTCTTACATTTAAGTCTTTAATCTATTTTGGGATGGTTTTGTATATGATGTAAGATAGTGATTCAGCTTCTTTCTTACCATTATTTATTTTAAAGACCTGTTCTTTTCTCATTGTGTGTTCTTGTCATCCTTTTCAAAGATCACTTAACTGTAAGTGTATGGATTTATTTCTAGGGTCTCTGTTTTATTCCTTTGGTTGATTTGTCTGTTTTTATGCCATTACCATGTGATTTTGATCACTGTATCTTGGTAGTATATTTTAAAATCAGCTAGTGTGGTGCTGTTAGCTTTATTACTTTTACTCAGGATTGCTTTGGTTATTTTTGTGTGTGGTCCCATACAAATTTTTGGATTTTTTTCTGTTTCTTTGAAGACTCATTGGAATTTTGTTAGAGAGTTTGTTGAATTTGTAGATTGCTTTGGGTAGTATGGGTATTTTAATAATATTTTTTCAATCCATGAACACAAGATGTCTTTCAATTTATTTGTGTTCTTCAGTTTCTTTCTTTAGTGTTTTATAGTTTTCAGTGTGTAAGTCTTTTACTATCTTGGTTACATTATTCCCAAGTATTTTATTTATTCCTTTCATTGCTATTATAAGTGGGATTTCCATGATTTCTTTTTCAGGTAGTTCATTGTTAGTATGTAGGAATGCTCATAATTTTTGTATGTAGAATTTGTATTTTGCAACTTTTCTGAATTCATTTGTTGTTTTAGCAGGTGTGTGTGTGTAGTCTTTAGATTCTATATACAAGATTATGTCATTTGTAAACAGGCAATTTAACTTCTCCTTTCTTCCTTATATGCTTTTTCTCTCTTTCTGTTGCCCAGTTGCTTTGGCTAGGACTTCAGGTACAATATTGAATAAAAGTAATGAAAATAGGTATACTTATCTTGTTCCTGATCTTCAGAAAAAGCTTTCACCTTTTGCTGTTGAGTATGATGTTGGCTGTGGATTTATCTTGTATGGTCTTTACTGGGTTGATGTATGTTCATGAAAGGATGCTGAACTTTGTCAAATCTTTTTCTATATCTATTAAGATAGTCACTTTTTTGCGTTCATTCTATTAATGTGGTTTATCACATTTTTCTGTATGTTGAATCATCTTTGTATATGAAGGAGAAATCCCACATGATCATAGTCATAATCCTTTTAATGTTCTGTTGAATTTGGTTTGCTAGTGTTTTGTTGATGATTTTTGCATCTGTGTTCATCACTTATATTGGCTCATCATAGTGTGCTTGTCTACCTTTGATATAAGGTAATGCTGGCCTAGTAAATGAATTTGGAAGCGTTCCCTCCTCTTCAGTTTTTGGGAAGACTTTGAGAAGGGTTGTATTAATTCTTTAAATGTTTGGTAGAATTCAGTCCTCTCTTTGAGAGGAGCTTTTTAAAATTACTGATTCAATCTCCTCATTATTGGTGTGTTCAGATTTTCTATCTCTTCATGATCCATTCTTGGTAGATTCTGTGCTTCTAGGAATTCATCCATTTCTTTATAGGTTATCCAATTTGTTGGTGTATAATTTTTCATAGAAGTCTCTTATATCCTTTGTATTTCAGTGTTATCAGTTGTAGTGTTTCTTTTTTCACTTCTCATTTGAGTCTTCTGTCTTTTTTTAAATTTAGTCTAGCTAAATGTGTGTCAATTTTGATTATCTTTTTAAAAGACCAATTCTCATGATATCTTATAAGGTAAGCAAAAAAAACAAAACAAAACCCTAAAAACAAAAACAAAACTTCTCTTGGACACCTGATATTATTTTAATAAATTAAAATTAAATATTTATTTATTTTAGTAAATAAATAGCAGTCTTTCTCTACTTTAACTCTGAGATCCATCACTGCCTCATCTGCTCCTCTAAGTGCAGATCAGGGGCTGCCAAACAGATGGAGCAGCTTTGCTACGTATAATCTTCCTAAGCTAAAAAACTGCAAGGTTTACTTTCTCCCTGTACCCAGCCATTTTCTCATCCTGTTTGCTTCACCTAAAGAGCCTCTGGTTTCACTTTAAACAATCTCTGTAGAAGGCTGCTGGGGGTGGCGTCAGCGGTAGAGAGCAGCTCTGAGTGGGTCCTGGTGCCCTGCGGAGGATGCAAGGTCGCCTGCCAGGGTGCAGCAAGGTGGGACTGCAGTGTGAGTGCCGCTCTGTCTGGGGACCCGTCACAGACTGCGGGGGCCATGGGTGAGCTGCACCTCAGCTGTGCAGATGGAGAACACCTGACCGCGACAGTCACTGGAGGCATCTGTGCTACAGCCTTCGTTCGTTTTCCAGTGGTTAATCTTCAGTTTCCTGAGCAGTAGTGATTTGAACTACTGTTGCCTGTGGATATTTAGGGGCAGTTTATCATTCTATTTCATGTTTTCTTTTTCTATTTCTTACTTTCTCTTTCTTGTTTTTAAAAGATACCACGTTCTTCAGGAGAGCTTAATCAAACTCGTGGAAGCTTGTAACGACCAAACACATAACATGGACCGGTGGCTCAGTAAGCTGGAGGCCTCCAACTGGCTGACACACATCAAAGAGATCCTGACGACCGCCTGCCTGGCAGCACAGTGCATCGACAGGTACCGCGCCCTGGCCCTTCTCGGCAGGACACGCTGATCACCAGACTTCATTTTTATCCAGACACGTGGCTATAGTCTGTCCCTGTTGGGTAGCTTATGTTCAGGTCATTGTAACAATTACTGTGTAAGCGAGTGAACACCATTCAGTTACTGAGGGATATGCACAGAGCCTGGCATTTAGAGAATTAATATCTGTTAATGAGTGAACCAAGTATATATATATGTCCTCTGTGACACGATTTTTAAAACTTACTAAAGGACTTATTTCTTCCCGTAAAATCCTTAAATTATGAATTCACCAATTTTCCATTTCTTATACTGTGAACAAGAATCAAAGGAAGTTTTCTTATTTGTTCTCAGAAAACCTAACTCACCTCCATATTCTTGCCTCATAGAAAGGAGATGTGGTTTTGTTACACAGTGACAAGGTCTTTTCTCATCACTCAGATACCTTATTACGATCCACTTGACATGCAGTTATAGCTGGATCTCAACTTGAGAAAACGTGAAGAATATGAAGTGATTTTAGTTTGTTCACTCAGTGAAAGGTTGCTAATCCTTGAGACTTGAGGCAGAAGACTTAAAGAGAGGCAGAAGGCATGGCAGAAATTATTGCAGAAGCTTAGAATGCCCTTTTTAAGAAGGGGATTTCCACTAAAACTTATTGCAGATGGGTATAAGTATTGTCACAACTTAGTCGGGTAGTGCTTTTCTGTGAGACTTGACTTTATTTTCTTGGTGCTTCCACATTAGGGAAATATGATCAGAGAGACACTGATGATGGACTGGGTTGTGTAAGATCTTTGGTAGTTAACCACAGCAGCGAGGACAGGAAGAAACCCTTGGGTCAGGATTGCCAGGTGTTGTTGTAGGGTTAGATATACTCATTTAGCCAGTGAAACATGGAAATTACAGGTCAGGGTTCTATGGGGGAGAGATCAATAATGCAGAATGATGAGGTGTTACTCTTCAGGTTTTTTTTTTATAGCCTAAATCTCCCTGATTTCTCCTTACATTACCAGTGAGAGGTTTCTGTTTTCCTATGAAACATGAATTGTAATAAACGTATCATCGCCTTGTCTGCTTTTTCAGCTGCAGTAATAAGATGATACAGATCAGGGCAACCCTAGCTACAGATGAGTTTACCTATGGCTGGGTTGAGTTTGGGCTGGCCACCTTCACCAGGTGGGGACTTCCAAACTCTAGGGTTAGGGGTCCCCTTTCTGAGACATATTAGCTTATTATTTATACCTCCATAAAATTTTGGCCTAATAATTAATTGCTAAAAATGTACAAATAGACCTTAAATTAATTAAATTAAATTCAGAATAAGCCATATATAGGAACTTTAAAGTATTTGCTCATTCTTTTTAGTGTAGTCATTAGATTTTATCCTAAGAATGGAATTATTAACCTACCATGGGTGAACTTCAGGGAGTCTGTTATTTTAAAATTAATAACTCCCAAATAATTCAGCAGAAGACAAAAAGCGAATTAAGTACATCATTTACTTTGTAATGAAAATTGGTTTATCCTGTATCCTAAATATCCAACTACAGGATTAAGAAAATTACAGTTCATCACTTACTAGTAGAATATTATGTAGTCATTAATACAGGAAATTACTTTCTAACTATGTAAAGTATATATGTACATGGGAAAAGAATTGACAGTAGTTATCAAACATGAAATTTCTCCTTTCCAAAAATTTCTTCACTGTTTTTCAGTAAAAAGAAGAGGGTGGGGACTGCAGTTAATCTCCCGTGGTGTTTCCTTCCATTCTCGGCCGAACAGTGGGCCCTGGGCCCGCACGTCTCCTAGGACAGTGGTGTCTTTGCCACTAACTCTATAGATTGACTGTTTTTGTTTTTTTCTGTTCCTATGTTTTTAAAAGTGTGGTCTAGGACTTTTTCTCAGATGCATTACAGTTCATGAAGGCATCCTTTTCGTCAGCTGACAGAAACACAGAATTGAAGGTCAGAAGAAATAATTTTAGTGGGTGTTTATAGGTTTGATGAGAAAAGGCTTTACTCAGCTATTGAAGCAAAAAAGTTAAGTGCCTGCCCTCACAAGAACTGCTTTTGACTGGTTTTTCAAGGGATAGAAAATTTAGCAGAAAAGCGCTGTGAAATTTGTCGCAGCTGAAGAGATTTTTTCCATGTGAAATGTGGGGGTCACTACAGCCTTATGTTTTCCCAAGACAGCCTCTCATCTGCCCGGTGCCTTACTTAGACTGCAACCCCTGCAGGACAGGACCGATGCAGGGGACTGAAACACCGCGCTTGCACTTGATAAATGCTTGTCATTAGCAGGGGTCGCTGACTGTGTCAGGAGTGTCCCGTTTGTGCTCTGGATTTTCCTCCCAGGGAAGGTGCATCCATACTGATCCACGGAACAGAAGGAACGGACTCTACACTGCAGGTGACCTCCCTGGCCCAGATCATCTTAGACCCGAGGAGCAGGACCATCCGGGGCTTTGAGGCCTTGGTGGAGAGAGAGTGGCTCCAGGTGAGGGAAGCTCCTGATGGGAGAGGAACTGCGCTCTTGGTACTGCTGTCCTGCTGTGCGAAACTTTGATGGACTGAAAAGTTTTAATTGTACGTTTAATTTTCTGTGGGCCTATAAATCTCTTTCCCTCATTACGTGTTTATAATCTTCACTACCTCTCAATTTCTAGTTCTCTCTTTGCTTATACTGTTTATTTAGCACCTCGTCCACTTAAAAGCCTTCTGTTAGCTCTACAGGCTGAGCGTCCCTGCTCTGAAAATGCAGAATGCTCTGAAATCTAAAATTTTCTAAGGGCCAGCACTTGACCTCATGTGCCATGTTAGTCACATGCAGGTGCACTAAAGATGCTGTGCAAAATCACCTTCGGGCTCTGTGTATACGGTGTAGAGGAAACATAAAGGAATTGCAAAAGCTTTAAAGTATTTGTTCACACTCGCTAGCCTGATCTCCCATTCTGTAAGCTGTCTTTTTATTCCGTTGCTTATTTCCTTTGCCATACAGAAGCTTTTTAATTTGATGTCGAGGCTTGAGTCTCATCCCCAAGATACCTCATTAAGTATGTGAACATATTCCAAGATATCAAAAATTCTGAACTCCGTAACACTTCTGGTCCCAGGCATTTTAGATAAGGGATACCCAACCTGTTCTTTGTTACATACGAAAGAAATACGAAGAATATAAAACATAGTCTGTCTCCAAAAACCGTAGTCTTGATGGAGATAGAGTAGCCCGGAAGGGCAGGTGGGCAGCGGCTGTAACAGAGCTTGTACCGTAGCACTTCCTGCCCTCCACCCCCATGCGCATCCTCCCCTCTCCCCTAAGCAGGTGAAGTCCTTGTCATCCCTCGAGAGCCAGCTAAAAGTCACTGCTCCTATAAAGGCTTTGAGACCTTATTCTCCTTCACGGATAACATTGATCCATTTCCTTCACATCCTGTTTCCTGAACTAGCACCCCCCCCACCAAAGAACAGTGACAGGTGCCCTGTCATCTGTTTATCCCTAGGACAGCACAGTGCTGTCATAATGTTGCGTGACTACTAAAATAAACACAGATTGAAGTCCTCCAAGTCACAGATTAACTTATGAATGTATTTTCACTGTGTATCTTAGTACATAGTTGTGATTGAAAACAAATGCTTAGATATATGTTGGAGACAGATATATCCACTTCTGATGAAGAAGACTTTCTGGCCCCTCCAGTTATGATGCAGATGTTTCTTGTGTTAGTGCTGTTAGATATATATACCCTGTGTACCTCCCGTATTTGGTGCAAGTCTATTCAGCTACATTTCTCATGATCCATAGTAAACAAACAAGTGAGTGTGCTTTACCTAATTATATGTTACTATTGTAATACACGTCCAGATCTGCATCCTATTAGCCACTAGAAAGTTTCCTTGCACTCTCTTTGTTGGCTAAAGTAGAATAAGGCCCCAGGGGCAAAGCAGGCCTGTGGGGTAAGAGAGTGACTTGTGGCCAGCTCAGTACTTGGCTTTGGGTACTTAAACTTACTTTAGGCGGAAGGTTGCCACCTTGTCTCTTGCGATTTTGAAGGGGGAGAAAAGGTTAATGAAGGACAGTTTTATCTCTAATATAAAAGTACAGTATTTATTAAGATCTTTTCTTGTGATCCCCAAACTGACTTCCACAGTTGGCCTGCCGAGCACCGTGCTTGTCTGTGTTTGTGATGAGGGTTACATAGCTCGCAGTACAACTGACGGTTTCTGATAAATAGAGGTGATTGCTGTCCTCCTTTTATACCCAAGAGCTTTATGTTCTTTGACCCTACTCCACGTTTTACAGATCTCCAAGGTTTTGTTTTTACATCTTTATCGTTTGTTACTTTCATTATTCTTTCATTCCTGGCCCAGGGGCAGTTGCAGCTCCTGGGGTCATCATGTCTTGACTGCACAGCATTGTCCAGGATTTGGAAATTGTCTTTTTCCTCAGTTGCCGAAATTCCTCATTTAAACCAAGAAGTAATCCGTCTGAGCAGGAGCCGCCCTGTTCTGTGACGCTCTGGTTAACGCGGTTCCGCATGCCGTCCTAAGGGTGTGAAGTGACCTCCTAGGGTGCGAGTCATGTTTCCCTCCTCTCCCTAGGCTGGTCACCCGTTCCAGCAGCGCTGTGCACAGTCAGCCTACTGCAGCAGCAAGCAGAAGTGGGAGGCGCCTGTGTTCCTGCTCTTCTTGGACTGCGTGTGGCAGATACTTCGTCAGTTCCCTTGCTCGTTTGAATTTAATGAGCATTTCCTTGTCATGCTCTTTGAGCACGCTTATGCCTCACAATTTGGAACTTTTCTGGGCAACAATGAAAGTGAAAGGTGGGTATGCTGCTCACATGAGGCCATTTCATTATTAATTTTATTGACTTCCTAAAGGAGACTAGGTGTGGGTCTATATTGATGTTACCTATAAGAAGGTAGGCGCTACAGTGAGGCATGGACTAAATTACAGGAACTCTAGCCTTATCATAAGCCAGTCGTGTTCTAGGGGAGAGGGTGTCCTTGACTTTGTTCTGTTAGGTTAAAATTAGGGCTGGACTTGCAGCTCGGTGTGGAGCTCTTGCCTAGCAAGTGTGAGGCCCTGGGTTCCGTCCCAGCACTGCAGAGAAGCAAAAAACAGGAGAATGCAGATGTCTCATAGATGTGCACCAAATTCATCCATGTACCATGTGGAATCTGTAAAGTATTAGCTTGTACTCTTTAGCCTGGTTCCCCATTCTGTAAGCTGTCTTTTCACCCTGTTGATATTTTCCTTTGCCGTGCAGAAACCTTTTAATTTGATGTTGTCCCACTTGTGGATTCTTGCTGTTAGATCCTGTACTGCTGGAGAAAGTCTTTGCCCGTGCCTATGATTTTCATTGTTCCCCTGTGTTTTCTTGTAGGATTTTCAGAGTTCCAGATCTCTGATCCATTTTGAGTTGATTTTTGTACAGGTTGAGAGACAGGGTTCTAGTTTCCATCTTCCACATATGGAAATCCAGTCCTGCAAGCTTCCCCAGCTTTCGCTTTGGCCCCTTGCCAGCAGTCAGGTGGCTGTAGTTGTGTGGGTTTGTGTCTTCGGTTGTATTCCCTTGATCAGTGTTTCTGTTCTTGTGCTTTGTAGTATATTTTGAAATTGGGGATTGTGATAGCTCTAGTCTCATTCTTTCTGTTTAGGATTGCTTTGGCTATTCTAGGTCTTTTGTGCTTCTGTATGCATTTTAGTATTGTTTTTTCTAGTTCTGTGAAAAATGGCATTGGTATCTTCATGACGATTGCATTGACTGTGTGGATCTCTTGGTAATTTGGCCATCTTAGCAATATTATTTCTGCCGATCCATGGGCATGGGAGGGCTCTCCACCTTCTAGTGTCTTCTTCACTTTTCTGTTTTTTTAGTGTTCTCTAATTTTCATTGTAGAGCTCTTTTACCTCTTTGATTAGGTGTATTCCTAAATTTTGTTTTTGCTATTGTGAATGGAATTGTCAATTGTCTTGATTTCTTTCTCAGCAGGTTCGTTATTGCTGTGTAGAAAGGCTGTTGACCTTTCTGTGTTGACCTTGTATCCCTCCACTTCGCTCCATTTGTTCAGCACATCTAAAATTGTCCTGGTGTTTTAAGGGTCTTGTAGAAAGGATTATATCGTCTGAAAACAGGAGTAATTTGACTTCTTCCTTCCTTACTCGTTTCTCCTTCCTTTCTTTATCTTGCCTCATTGCTGTGGCTAAAACTTCAAGTACTGTGTTAGACATGGGGCCGCCAGAAGTGGCCTTGTTATTCCTGATTTTCGAGGAATGCTTTCAGTTTTTTACTATTCAGTATGATATTGGTATGGGTTTCCTATAGACAGTATGGTTTTAATTGTACTGGGACGAGATCCTTCTAAACCTGGTTTCTTCATGGTTTTTATCACGAAGGGATGTTAAATTTTGGTAAAGGTTTTTCTGCATCTGTTGAAATGATGGTGGGATTTCATTTTATTTATTTCGCTGGGTTGAAAGCAACTTGCTCATGGTGTGTGCCGGAGCCCCAGAAGTACCCCGCTGACTCTGCTGAGTGTGAGGGAAGTGAGTGAACCTAGTGCAGGGAAGACAGTAACCCCCTGTCAGCGGGCTCCCCTCAGTGTAACAGTTACAGTGGAACCTTGGTTTACAAACTTCATTTGCTTTATCATTTTGGAGAAGAGGGCTGGGTTTGTGTTTGTGTGGGAAAGATGGCCGTGTCGTGTTTGTCACCCGATGCACAGTTTGTGAAGGGCAGCAAAATGTTGCCGAACTCATGTTTGTGAACGAACTATTTGGAGACAGAAGCGATGGCCACGGTTTACAGTAGTTAACGTGTGAAGAGAAAAGGGTTCTTTTGCCTCGAGGTTTCAGGGCCTCTCGGTGACTGGCACAGCGCTGCTCCGGGGGTCCGCAGGGTGGTGATGACACAGGAGGCTGCGCTGGGTCAGACCAAGTCACCACCATGAGGAGGGAGGCGAGGAGGGTGGGCTGCGGGTGGCTGATAAACGATTTCCAGGAGCAAAACAGACTCCAAGACTTGAGTGTAACAGGATCCTGTGAAAATTTAATGTAGTATCTTTTTAGTTAATGTTAGATTCACACAGGGTTTCAGTCTTGGTTAAAACTTACTTTTTCTAAAATGGGCTGGTCCACTCCTGCCCGGTCATTTATTCCACGACGAAGAGTTTTACAGTTTATTTTCAGGACTACTATGAACACAATTTATTACGCAGAGATGTAGATTAAATTCGTCTTCACATTAAGATTGAGTTTATTTTTAATCTTTGACAATTTGTGTTTTATATGTACGGCACTTATTTTTCCTAAAATCTAAAATTCTCTAAAAAATGTTTAGTTTTGCGATTTATTCAACTTCCGTTTTTAAGATGATGCATCTAATTTTAATAATGATGCATGTAACCCCTCCACTAGGCATATCAGAAACAAAAGTTAGAAAGCTCTTTATAATTAGCTATTTTAAATTGAAATATGATCCCATGTACAATAAAGGCCTTTTGCATATGCTCTAGATCTGTGATGGCGAACCTTTCAGAGCTTTGAAGGATACAAACAGCCCGCTGTCAGGGCAGGGATTTAGCTCAGTGGCACCACAGGTCCTGCGTTCGATCCCTGGTACCAAAAATGACACACAACAAAAGCCAGCGCACTGTGGCACGCGTGCCGTGGGTTCACCGGCACTGCTCTAGATCACGGGTTACCATGTAAGGCAGCCTTGTTTCTCTGGGCGAGAGTTCTAAGGGTGACTGACATATTTGACAGCATTTGCTTTCTCTTCTGAGACTCTCCTGCTCGTACTGGTCACATAGAGAGTAAGTTCACGTATCCTGGAGCTCGATCAGAGGCGTGGATGAGCAGGTGTCGTAAACCAGCTGCCTTAATGGCAATTTTCTCTCTCGGTCAGATGCAAGCTGAAGCTGCAGCAGAAGACGATGTCTCTGTGGTCCTGGGTCAATCGGCCCAGCAAGCTGTGTCAGTTCACCAACCCCCTCTTCGAAGCCAACAACCTGGTCATCTGGCCTTCTGTGGCCCCGCAGAGCCTGCAGCTGTGGGAAGGTACCACGCCACGTGTGCACATGCGCTCTGCCAGCCTTGCTGGGTCCCCAGGGTGCACCCTGCCCCTCCCTGTGGGTGTGTTCTCTCTGCTCCTTTCCCAGCCCTTTTTCTCATTTTTTATATTGAAACAGGAGACGGTCTCCCTCAGTTACTAAGTTGCCCACTCTGGACCTAAACTTAGGATTCTCCTGCCTCAGCCTCCTAAAGTCGTGGGATTACAGGTGCATGCCACCATGCCCAGCTAGTGTGTTACTTCCTGCATAAGAGAGTTGGTGGGTAGTTGAGACATCAATTGTAAGCTCCTCAGAGAGTTTCTGTTTTCCTTTATGAAGCTGTCCCTGGGGTAGGTGCGGGTGTTAAATGGTATCAAATGCTTACATGCCCAGTCATTCCAGTGAGTCTAGAAAGGACACAAAATATCATTGGTGCAGAATTTTCACCTATCTCATTGTTCATATGGAACAATAACCAATGTAGAATTGTTATATTAATCTAAAGTATGATTTTTTATAAATACTAATTTCTCACACTACTGAAGCTTATCCTAAGTAGCAAAGCTTGTGTTAAGAAAAGTTGCCTGTGGGTGTGGTGGTGCACACCTGTAATCCAGCACTAGGGAGGCTGAGGCAGGAGGATTGCTGGAAGTTCGAGGCCAATCTGGGCTACATAGTGAGTTCAAGGCCAGCCTGAACTGCACAGAGAGACCCTGTCTCCAAAAAAAAAAAAAAAAAAGTGTCCAAACTTAGAAAATATTAGCTGTTCTTTAAACAAAGACTATAAAATACTATTTAATTGCTGTGTCATCATTTTGAAGTCAGTGAGCAGATCTTTACTCATGTAGGTATCAAGCCACACGGAGTGCAGGTGACAGCGTGGTGGCTGTTTGATAAATGAAACCGACTTGCCAGGGTGTGAGTTGTTGTACTGCATTCCCACTCAGCCTCCTGCAGGGCAGCTGACAGGGGAGCGCTCTTCGCCCTTTGTGTGGAGAGGCTCTCTGGTTGCCTTGTTTTCGGGGTCTGTTCCTGCCACTTCTCCAGGAGCCAGTGCTCATCCTGTCCCTCTGGGCCTGCGCATCTGCATCATTGGCTTCCCTGACTTTGGCCCTGGGTCAGTCCTGTCCACCCAGCGTTAGAAGGCGGGGGTGGGGCTTTAGCTCTGTGGTGCCAAGCCTGCCTCGTGAGCGCAAGGTCCTGAGTTCAATCACCAGTGCCAGAAACAAAAAGAGGGCGGGGAAGGGAAGCAGCCGCCGCAGTCCCCAGGTTCCAGCTGCAGGCTTTCGTGCATTGATTTTATTAAGCCCATCTGGCTGCTTGAAACAGAACTTAGCCTGCCCCCTTCCCCACTGCTGTAGGCAGTCACGGGTGTGGGTGCGTGGTCTCCTTCCTGTGTGAAGACCCCAGGGACACTCTGTGTTCCATCACTGAGTCTGGCTGCCGGGGTTCGCATGGCCAACTAACCAGTTCTACCAGACTCATTGGGACTTTAGACATTAAGTGATGGAAGGAAAACTTTATTTTGTGCACGAATTCCTACCGTGCCATTAGGAACAGAGATTCTATAAGTGCTTAGTCAGTGCCTGGGAGAAATTCTCTGTAAGGTAAATCTTAGGGTAGATACATACATTGCGTGTGACTACCGGCCTTTTTTTTTCGGGGAGGGGGGTGAGAAAGGATCTGACTGTGTAGTCCAGGTTGGGCTAGAACTCATGGTGATCCTCCTGCTTCAGCCTCCCGAGTGCTGAGATTACAGGTGTGCACCACCACACCCGGCTGCACTCTTTGGCCTTTTAAGACTTTCTGGTATTCATATTTATATCATAACTAAGCATTAATAGCAATTTCTATATTGAAGAATAGAATAATCATGTAATAAAAGAAAAAATAGGTCAGTTAACCTTTAAGCAGTCAGCCTCTGTATCTGTGGGATCCTCATGCATGAATTCTACCAACTGTGGATCTAACAATTTTTTTAAGCCCACATCTATATTAAACATATACAGATTTTTTTCCTTGTCATTATTCCCTAAATAATATAGTATAACAACTAATTCCTTAACATTTACATTGTATTTATTGTCATAAGTAGTCTAGAGATGACTTAAAATATGCAGGAGGATATGCATACATTATATACAAATACTGTCATTTTTATAAGAGGGACTGAGCCTCTGAGGATTTGGGGTGCCCAGGATGCTGAGGGGCAAGTGTATATCCTCGCAGTGCATAATAAAGGGCAGTTATTATTTGAGGAAAGCAGCAACTGCCTGCAGACTCGGACACTGCCTCGGTGGGTGGGAGAGTGTACTGGCCTCGAGGCTTGCGTAGCAGTTTGCGGGGTCCCCTGGGCTTCCTAGAGCAGTCACTTTCGGGGAAAGGTGGTTTCACACTGTGGGAGACCTCACAGGTCTGAGAAGATTCTACAGTTGTAAAAACAAGTGCTCAGTCTTGTGATGCTAGAAAGTTTATAGCAGTGTAAATGACCAGCTCCTATTTCTTACTGTATCACAGAACAGTATTTTGATTTATTTGATAAGTTTGTGGAATTTTTATGAAGAATTAATGGGCATGTACTATATAAAAATATTGGTACTGCATTAATTGGACCCTTTCGGTACCTCAAGACTCCTGTACATTTTAGAGCGTGAGAAAGCCCAGTGTGGGTTGTGGGGAGGAAGGGCAGTGCGCAGTGTGCTTCACAGAATTCTGTACTCCCCACTAAGCAGGTGTTGACCCACAGAATGTATCTTTCTCCCTCTGGATTCCTAGGGATTTTCCTGCGGTGGAACAGGTCTTCTAAGTATCAGGATGAAGCGTATGAGGAGGTGGTGAACATCATCGAGTATAACAAGGAGTTGCAAGCCAAGGTCAACATCCTGCGGAGGCAGCTGGCTGAGCTGGAGACAGAGGACAGCTGCGGGAGGCCCTCTGAGCACCCCTGAGCGCCACGCCCAGCCCTGCCGGCCTCGTGGGTCTCACCTGCCCTTCAACTGACTCGTATACTGAAGCCTGGAACTTCCGGCTTCACTTGGGACCCCTCTGATGGCCTGGCTTTCTCAGTACCGTGGAACAAATCTCACTACAACCACACCTATTTTATGTGGCCCGCTAGGCCCTTTGCTTTGGAAGCAGGAAGGAGGTGCTAGTTATTTAATTTGACATGAAATCGGTGACCTAGAGAATGCTACTTGTCACAGGCAACTTCACCGAGCTTCTTCCATGGCCACTTCCCACTCCATGCTCCAGCCCAGACCAGGACACAAGACTCTCCGTTGGCAGTAGTTGGTTTAAAAAGGGTCAGGTTTGTAAGCACTCAGTATAGAAATGTTTTTCCTTTTTGTTTTTTTTGGTACCGGGGATCGAACTTGGGACCTTGTGCTTGCAAGGCAGGCGCTGGAACCACTGAGCTAAATCCCCGGCTAGAAACGTTTTTCAAAGCTGAAATGGTGGATAAACCAAGAACTTTGTGTTTAACATGCCATTTCTAATACCTTTGCCCCTTAAAATAACCTTCTCTTTAAAACGGTTTTGGGACGAACAAAGCTGAATTCATTCTCATTCTGGTTTGTCAAGAAGGGAGAACTGGAACACTTACTCAAGGTAAATTCTTTCCACAAGGGCAGCGGGTATGGCTCTCTGCTACTTACAAGAGTTAAATTTCTTTGAAGGGAAGATACTAAAAGTACGTGCAATATAGAATCAGAGCAGGCATTTGTTACTGATAGAGAACTGTTGCTGTTGAATTGGTTTTTCAGTTTGGGGCCATACATACGAAAGGTGTATCAAATGCAAAATGAAACTGTCACTTAAAATAGGGTTGTTACACTTAAGCTACAAATATGGTTTCCTTAAACCAGAGCTGCACTGCCCTCGTCTGAAGTTCTTATTGCATCGGTTTATACCTCTGTATGTGTATGTGTATTTTAGTTGATTTTTAAGTATTTTAAGAGTTTACTGATACTAAGGTTAACACTTTCATGTTGACTTGAGCAGCTTGCAAATTTGTCTTGACGGCTGATTTGTCCATGACTGTCAGGCAAATACAGTTTAACCAGAGGGGAAGATTATGAATGTGGTGCAGCTTTATGTTTGAAACTGCAGAGAGAGTTTTGAAATGTCTCAGTAACACAGGACAGCAGTGACTGTGTGCGCGACCTGCTGGTTTGTTTACACCTGCAATGTTCAGTACTGGTTCAGTACTCCTCATCCCACTGCCCCTTTTATCAATACTATCTGTTCTGTTTTTCCCTGAAGAGGACAGTGGAAGAGTAATCCCTAATACTGTTTCCACACCATCTGTATCAACCACTGCAATGTGGAACACAACAAACTGGATCCCACCTCAGACTGAGTGTTGAGCTAAAAAAGTATAACTTTAAAAAATTGACTAGGGGCCGGGATTTAGCTCAGTGGTTCCGCTGCTTGCCTCAAAAGCAGGAAGACCCGAGTTCGGTCCCTGGTACCAAAAAATAAAATAAAATAAAATAAATAAATTGACTAGCAGGGGCCGCGGATTTAGCTCAGTGGTTTCGCCCCCTGCTGCGCAAGCGCAAGAACCTGAGTTCGATTCCCGGTACCCAAAAAAAAAAAAAAAAATCTAGCAAAATCTGCAGCCATGTCCAGAAACCTCCGCACGTGGCCAGCGCCTTGCACCTCCCGTTGCCCTAGCTTCCCTGAGACTTGCGGCAAAGGGTAGGCAGCAATCAGCGGTCTAGATTCCTGTAGTAAATTTGCCTGCCTTCTTCTCCAAACTCACCTTTGTTCTTGGCTCTGACTACAAATCCTGGGACATTAACACCCCCACGGAAGACAGGGAAGGAGCGGAAGAGGCGCCCTGCCTTGCTCTGCCCTTGTCTGTGTTGTGCGAAGAAGTGCCTGTCATTGCCTCCTTTAATGCTCCTCAAACTCGCTGGCAGTGCTTGTTTGGCAGCTGACCTTTCCGTGTACTCCTGCTTTTATCTCCAGGCCACCCATGAAGGACTCTTTTTCTCAGTGGGCCCATAAGGAAAATCGCCTAGAGGTCCTTTTCCTCAGTGATTCTTCAGAGTGCCTCCCGCTGCTCCTGTGGGCTGGGGCTTCCGGGCAGCCACTGTGAAGGGAGCCTTTATCAGGCTCGGGCTTGGAGGACTTAGACGTTTGAGTGTCACCTGTCGCTGACGAACGGTGCGTGTGACCCAGCAACAGTGACGGCGGAGCATTTCTGTTCCTTTTTCTTTCCCGCATTGAGACAGCATTCATCACTGTTTTAGTATATGTGCTGCCGAAGCGAGCACATCATCACTGTTTTGACAAGTTTGCATTTTAGTTTTTGGTTTTTTTTGGTACGGGGGATCGAACTTCTTGGGTCCTTGTGCTTGTGCAGCAGGCGGGGAAACCACTGAGCTAAATCCTAGTATTAACTTTTAAGTAGGGGTCATCTAAGCCCCAAGCCACTTTGCAGGTTGTAAACACAAACTCTGGTGTCAGTGCGCTTTCAACAGGGTCATTTCATAACGGAAACACTAGAGTTTCCCCAGACTCCAGAGAGCTATGCACAAGTGCGGTGTCAGTATGATTTGAAGAAAGTAATTAGTAATATGATTAAATTACCTTGCCCTTGGGTGAAAAGAATAAATAAAATGGATAAACCCAAGAGAAGATTCTTGCTAAGCATTAGGTTTAGAGAGTTGCCTTTGATAACTGTGACTTTAAGAACCTTAAGGAAGAGGGGCTGGGGATTTAGCTCAGTGGTTCCACCGCTTGCCTTGTAAGCACAAGGACCCGAGTTCGATCCCCGGTACCGAAAAAAAAAAAGAACCTTAAGGAAGAGAACGGAGCAGAATCAGTGAGCAAGCAAATGCTCAGTAGATGCCAGGAATACTCAAGTGGGGTCCACTCAAATTCAGGTGTGTCTGCCATCCTCTCTGTTCATGCAGAGTGGAGCCTGGCATACATTTGGGGTTGTTCAGAAAGAAGCCCCACGAAGACCATTTTTAAAATACAGAGGATCACTATCCTCCTTTATCCACAATACAAGGATCCTTAAGTTTAAATTCATACATATATTTTTTTGGTACTGGGGATCGAACTCGGGACCTTGCACTTTCGAGGCAGGCGCCAGAACCACTGAGCTAAATCCCCGGCCCTAAATTCATATTTTTTGAAAACCAAAAGAACATAGCTATTTGATTATAAAACTGGAAGCATTTTTGGTTCAAGACTTTTCAATAATTATTTGTTTGGTCAAAATTATTAAGTGGGAAGAAAAGCAGAAATAATAAAATCTAATAGTTTAAAATGAAATATAAATGTATTTTATTTCTAAGAAAAATGAGGCTGTTGAAGCAAGATTTTAAAGTGATTTTTAGGCAGCCTTGGGAGGACCATGATAGACATTCTTGAAAATCCCATATAAAGGATTTAAAATTTTCTTTATGAAGGATTTATAAGCATTGGAACTTTGAGGCCTGACTTAGAAGTGAGATCTCATTTTGTTTCATTTCATTTTAGAAGATGAAATTTAGTGGGATTTTAGCCTTTCATTCAGTCAGTATTAGGTTTATGTTAAATTTTTAAAAATCAATATCATGGGAAAGATTTGACCAGTAATTTAGTGTCTTGAACTGAAAAATAGGAGTAACATTTTGTCGCATTTTGAAAAATCTGCTTAAATAACTGCAGCAGTTTTCTGGGTTCGGAGATGGCTGTTCTAATTGTCACTTTTAAGTGGGTCATCGGGCTGGTTTACTATCGGACTGTAATCCGAGGCAGAGGTTTTAATGTTTACCTACTTCCAGATTTAAGAAATGAAAACTACATGAGGATATTATGGGCATTCTTCATGAGAAAAGCATTTCCTGGACAGAGAATGGGGATGTGTGAATAGAATGGGAGCTTTGACCTTCCCTGGGCACAGAAGTCACCTGGCACATCCAGTGCAGGCTTGCGCTATACCTCAGGACCACATGCCCTCGTACTTCTTTTTCTTTAACACAAAGAACTCCCCCCCAGAGCTGTTATTTTAAGTTATTGCCAAATAGTATTTTGTGTTTTTCACCATCTAGAGAGAAAACATTAAAAGAGGACGTCTCCATTTTTATTTGTTAGATATGAAATGCTGAATTTTTTTCAGTATTAGTATTCTAATGTTTCTTTTCGTGAATAAAACTACTTTTACCTTTACTGAGTCTTTACGACCCACTGTCAACAACAGCATATTCTTTCTTTAAACCAGTGGTCCCAGAAGAGACCATCTGAAACTCCAGCACTAGTTTTTAGAAGCTCTGACCTTGTTATCTAAATTCTAAGAAACCTAACGCATGGTGTCTGGAAGAGCAGGGCAGAGCAGTAGTTTGTGCTCAGTTCAATGAAAAGTGCTGGAGCTCCCCGAGACACTGCATTGCCCGGACGCAAGCTCACTGGCTTTTGAGCCTGTGGTGCAGGCGGCTGCAAGTCTAAGGTGTTCTGTATTGGTGTTGTGGTGAGAGTTGTACAACACTGCCTCTGTGTGTCAGGCCAGTCATTCGATTCACTTTTAAAATGCACATATCTTTGGAGAGGCGAATTATTCTACACAAATATACCCTGGAGCCCATCGTTTAGAATCCATATAGATCTATTACCATCTACACTAAAAATATTGTACTTGCATAACTTAGTTTGTAGAAAACAGAATATGTATTTCTTCAATAGCCAGGTGTTTGGGTTGTACTCTCGATATACTTGATTGTACTCTTGGGTTTAAGTGCACTATTATTCACGTCTTACACATAAAATTGCACTGTATGGCGAATGTATCTTAACATATGCTTTGCTGAAACCTCAGAGCTATAAGGTACAGGTTTTTATATTGTGAACCTAAATGTGTATGTATGTGTGTGTGTGTATGTGTGTGTGTGTGTTTATATATAGCCTTAGGGAAAATTCTGAACTTTTGTAAGTGTGTAACCTTTTAATATTCTTCGTAATGTTCACTAAGTGATAAGTTCACTTATGTCCTGTAACTGGAATCAGTCACCTGGAGTTGGCTGGTTTGTCGAGCTTAGTTTACTGAGTCAAGAAGCAGTCTTGTTGAATGTGATGCTGTTCTTACTGTGTAGTACTCGTGTGTGGTGTTCTCCCTCAGCCTCAGAGGCAAACATGTTGCACAGATAGATGCTAGTGTTAAAGTTCTATAGACAATGGTAATAAAATTTGAATATATTCAATGCTGATAAATCCGGAGGCTGATTTTATTTTTTTGAAATATTTGCAAGAGTTTTGATAGTATTCCAGTTAAAACTACTGTATATTTTGACCACATATTTTTGAAAAATTGAAAGCTGCAAAAATGATGCAACATAATACAGTGATCTCCCATATGCTGTTCATATAGACTAAGCAGTTGATAACATAGCCCGTATTTTCTGTAACACTTTATGTGTGCATGTGTATGATTTGTTTGTTGTTTTGCAGAAATATTTTCAAGTAAGCTGTAGAAATCATGGACTTTCCTTCTAAATACAGGTGTCTGTCAAGAATTAGAAATTATCATATATATAATTAATTCAATTGAGTATGTATTACCTCAAATGAATTAATCAGTGAGGGGAAAGGGAAATCTTTTTCTTATGGTAAAATGTCAATTATCAACGATAGGAAGGATCATGAAATTAGAAAGCAAATTGGAGCAGTAACTGATTTAGGCACAATCAGTGAATGGTAAAACTAGCAAGTGAAAGTTTGTAGGGATAGAATATAGTACACAATTATCTTTCCACAAAATATTTATTAATTACAAAGGGAAAAATAGTAACTTCATAGCAAAGGAACCTGCTAGATACCACCGTATCTGAGCAAAGGTTACATCATGTGTCTTCTGCTTTGATCCATTCACGGCAGAGAAAAGAACACAACCTGAACTGGATTATGGGAAGCATTATACAAACCCAAATATAAAATGAGTGGTCATCATTCTAAAACAAAAACATCAAGCTTACAGAAGAAAAGGAAATACTGGTAAGCTTTTAGGTTTAAAATTGCTTCAGATTTTCTAACTAAAGCCCCAAATTAACAGAAAATAGCAAGTGATATCATACAAAGCTTTTTTTTTTTGGTACCGGGGATCAAACTCGGGACTTGGCGCTTGCACAGGAGGTGCCAGAACCACTACATGCAAAGCTTTAAAGCAAACTAAGAGTCAGATTATTTCAATGAATGAAAACTCTCTCCAATAAAGAAGATATTATCACATATTCCAAAACACACATCTTCTAACAAAACCTTCAGATATGAAGGAAAAATCTCAAAGAAATTGCAAAACTCAAAACAGATAAACCAAAGAAAGAGGAGGAAGGAAGGAGAAAGAACTTAGGGTTTGGGGATAAAAACAAAATCATTTTAAAGATGAGGATGAAGCAGGGTATGGTGATGCATGTGGATTCCTGCATTTGAGGCTAGCCTGGGATACACAGTAAGACCCTGTCTCAAAAAACAAACAAAAATGGGCGGGATTTAGCTCAGTGGTTCCACCGCCTGCTGCACAAGCACAAGGACCCAAGTTTGATCCCCGGTACCAAAAAAAAAAAAAAAAAAAAGATGATGAAATTCAAGATACCTGATGGAGAACAGGGCCAACTCAAAATTTAGTAAGTGGGATTGAAGAAACCCATGATAACCTAAAAGTGAAAATGAAAATAAGCAGAAATGATCAGAGAAGAAGTGACAGAGGCTGAGATACATGAATGATTAGAGTGTCTGAAAAATGGTAACAATGGAACAGAGCTAATATGCAAATCTATAGTCCAGGACAAGTGCCCTGAAAACAATTTTTTAAGCTTGAGGGAAACTGCATCCAAATTGCCTGACTTCAAGACCTATCCTCCTAAAACCATTAGACTTTAATGAAGAGGAAAAATATCTCCAGGACCTTCAGGCAAAAAAGTCACCTAAGGGCCGGGGATTTAGCTCAGTGGTGCCGCCACCGGCCTTGCAAGTGCAAGGTCCTGAGTTCAATCCCCAGTACCAAAGAAAAAAAAAAGTCACCTAAAATCAAATTGTTATTAGGGTTCTCCACAACATACAAGACAGAAAGGAAAGCAGCATTTTCAAGAAATACTCCTCTGCTTCCTTTCAGCGGGCCGTCTTTCAGTGAATTGCCAAACCCAGTGAGAAAGAGAGGAACCCAGTATATGTTCTCTGGGCCTTTTAGAAAACATGGAGTTGTTCTTGGGGCCATGTATATGCCAGTCTACAAAAAGGGTGATATTGTAGAACTCACAGGAATGGATACTCTTCCAACAGGAATGCCACACAAATGTTATCAAGGCAGAATGGAGGAGTCTACAGTGTTACCCAGTGGTAAACAAGGTAAGATACTTGCCAAGAGAATTAATATGCATAGTGAGCATATTAAGCACTCTTAAAGAGTTGCAGGAGCTTCCTGAAAGGCATCTAGGAGAATAACCAGGAAGCCAAAAAGAAAGTTACAGTGCCTGGGTTCAACTGAAGTGTGAGCCTGCCCCACCCAAAAAACACTGAGTGAGAACCCGTGAGAAGGAACTGACATGCTGGAACCTATTTCCTATGAATCCATGGCATAACCCGGGGATATACCCTGGTCATTCAGCACGTGATAAGCAGCTAAGTGTTCTAGCCCCTGCTTAAAAATAAAAAAGTGTTCTGAATTGTAAGGATGATTTTCTTAATTGAATAGGTGTGTGGTGCCTTTACCTCAGAGAAACACACCTGGAGCAGATTCTCATTGTACCTAGTTAGTTGTGTTAGGTCCTTTACTTTTCAGTGTTTCGCTTGCTGAAAGATGTGAGATATTGTGCAGGTGTACACTCAAATGGCCAAATATTTATATTGGCTTGAAGATTCTCTAACACATCGTGGGAAAAATGTATAAAAATAAATGGAAGTCAGTGTATGGCGTTTCAGTTAAATTGTTCAAAGTGGGCGGGGGGGGGGGCCTCTGTGTTCTTCTCCAAGAGTGGACACCTCTTCCTCTCTGGGTACAACTTGAACAGCAATGTGTGGGGTGCGCTGAAAGCCAAACACCTGGAACTAACACCAGTAGCAGGTGGACACCATTCCAGTCCTGAAGTGCTGCCGTGACCACGCCCTGTCCATCTGTGCTCACACGGACACCCTGACTCCCCGGAGAAGGGTGGAGAGCCAGTCTGGCGAGGACAGCAGGTCAGTTCGGAGCCAGAAGCCCACAGCGGGGTCCCTGAGCAGGTCTGGCCTTCTCAGAGCTGGGCCTCCCCGGTGTAGACAGCAGTTGCTGCTTCAGCCTCTTGGCCGTCCAATCAGGATTCAAACCCAGAGGGAGTGTCTGCCCCTGGACTGAGGCACCCGTAACATCAGACTGCCCGAAACCACCTGCCTTTCCGTCCTGGAAGTCAGCTTTGGGCCTGTCCTCGGGAATGTAGGCAGGGTCTTAGAGCTGTTTTCCCCACACCTTACTGGGCTTGCAGATCACTTGGGGATCTTGTTACAAAGCCACTTCCCCGAGTCAGCAAGCCTGGGAGGGAGGGGCTGCTGAGTGCGGGGACCACACCTTGAGGACCAGGCCCGGGTAGGGTTCCCAAGTCAGACTGTAGGTTGGAGTCACGTGCGCAGCGTTAGGAGCCACTCACACCTGGACCCCTTCCCTTCGAGTTTCTGAGGCCTTTGGTCGGGCGTGCAGCCTGCGATTCGACGGTTCAGAAACTCCCAGGGCGATCGTCGGGAGCCCCGGAGTCTGAGAACCCCGGCCCTAGAAGCCGCTCGCGGACCGCCGGGTGACGCAGGGCCGCACCCCGAGGCTGACCCCGCAGGCCCGGGAGAATTTGCACTTCCACCGCCTCCAGGGCTAGTTGGCTGCTAGCCCAGGCCTGAAGGTCGCCTATCTTGCTAGCGATGTGCCCAGCTGACAAACCTAGAGGAAGGCCTCTTCTCGGCAGTCCCGCGCCGGCTTCTGCATCCCGCGCTCCTGCCCATCCCCGGTGGCCTGGGCTCCTGACCCGGCCCGAGCTCGGCCGCTGGGGGTCTGCTCCTGCCGCGGACGCTGTTGCAGTCGCCCCCACCCTGACCGAGCCCGCGGGACCCTGTGCCCGGCCGCCCCCAGGTGTAGGTCTGGGCCGCCGGGCATCCGAGGCGGAGGGGGTTGCCACGGCAACAGCGCCCTCCCGCGGTGACGCCCCTCGGAGCCCTCGGGACTGAGCGCCGGGATTGGTGCGCTGCGGGGCGGCTTGGGTGGCGCGAGCATAAAGGCGGGCGCGCGGCGGGCGCAGGGTCTGCGGCGCCCGGCTCCGAGCGTCCCCGGCCCGGCCGCCAGGTCAGTGGGGCGCCCGGGCGAGTCCAGCCCCGGGAGGGGGCGCTGCGGGGTCTGCAGGCGCCACCGCCGCCCCGCGCTTTTGGGGACGGCGCCCTCCCGGGCAGAGGAGCCGCGTCGGAGCCCGACCCGGTGGGGTCTTGGGGGCCGGGGGGGGGGGCGAATCCCAGGCGCCGCGGTCCCCTCTCGGGAGGGCGAGCTCTGAGGAGCCAGGACTCCCGGAGAACCCGCTTTCCGGCCCGGCTCCGCCGGCTCAGAGACTTAACGTGCAAAGCAGTGCAACCGCAGCGGTGCGGCGGGGCACCCGGCCCCGTCCTCCCCTCGGTGCCGGGGCTGCCCTCGTGAGGCGGGAAGGTGGAGGAGGCGCAAAGAGGCTTTGGGACCCCGGCCCGAGCGCTGCCCGGGCGGGCCGTCACGATCCTGCAGAACGGGGTGGGGTCCCCGCTGCAGGGTTGGCTGAGAGGGTTAAACAGGAGCTGCGGGCCGAGGTGTCACAGGGCCAGCTTCCCCTTCGGTCTTTACTAGGAAGAGGACGCTCCGTCGCCTACTGAACCAGGGGCTTTTCAGGTGCGAGCGACCACTTGGCCACGTATGGGGCCCGCAAGGGTGACTTCTCCTCCAGGAAAAGTCGGGTGGAGGTGAGAGGACCCGAGGAAGGAAGGCGGGCGAGGTCACCGGTACCGGTGGGGGGGACCCCGGGTCCGGAGGCTGCCACCACCTGGGCCAGGCAGGCCTTCCAGAGCGGCTGGCAGGGAGCGCGTGGGAGACCCCCGAGGCAGCGAGGAGGGACGAGCGCAGCCGGAGGCCTGCAGAGGGCGCCCGGGCTCCCGATGGCGGATTTCTAGTTCCTGTGCGAGTCCTCCTAGGGTCCTTGCCTATGGCAAGCGCGGGTGTCAGCACCTCCGGCGGGGCCTGGGTGGGGAACTTGTTCCTTCATCTTGGGGGCGCCTCTGTCGACCTAGTCCTCTTTGATCTCTTGCAGTTAGACCGGGTGCTTGGGAGAGAAAGAAAGGCTCTTTGATCTTTAGGGAGGGACTGAGGATCTTCTTTGATGGTTTCTCTCCATAAGTTTGATTGCTATCCTGGCCCAGCAAGTTCTGCTTTGGACCAGCAGTTCTCAAAGTGTGATGTGGGGAGCCCTGCGGGCCTGAGAGCTTTCCTCAGAACTGTTTCAGGGCGGACAGTGGGGTGCCTGCCTTCTCTCTCACAGCAGACGACATGACTTCCACTTTTCCTGCGATGGCAGATGGATGACCTGTGTATTCTTCTTCCCGGAGTCTCCTAGGGTAGCAGGCTTGGGATGTAGATACGTGTATTTTTGGAGATAAAAATCAAGGTTTTTTAGTGTTTCTACTGTACATCCTTTGCTAGGGATCTTCACCTAAACCCGCTCGTAAACGCTGACTTTCAGTTCCTGAGTTTTCCTGGGACTCTGGAAGAGCAACAGGAAGTGTATTTTGTGATCTCGCTTTGTTCAGGCTGGCCCTGAACTCATTGTGTAGCCCAGGCTGGCCTTGAACTCATAGCAATCCTCCTGCCGCAGCCTCCTAAATGCTGGTTATTTTGTGGTCTTCGTTTGAAATTTTAAAAAATTTTAAGTGGTATAAAGTTATTCTTGAATTTAATAATTCTAGAATGAAAGGATACTACTAACTTGTATATTTTGTACTTGGGAGTAGGTTATTGGCAGAAGAGGGGATATTAGGAGAACTGAGTTTTCACCTCGCACCATCTATGTCTAGCAATGCAGAATAGGATGCCTCGGGCATCCTCACAGCTCCTGACTCTGACTTGAAGGGGAGGAGTTTACTCCAAAGGAATGGACAAAACTAAATAAAAACGTGGAAAGCGTCCCTCAGCTTTCCTGCCGCTAATAATCTGCCTTCTGAGTCTCCTGTCCCAGACCCGTTCTGGCTCATATCACAGTGGCCGTAGCATCATTTTGAGTCCAGTTACTCCTCGGAGTTCTCCGAGGGAGGACAGCTTGGGTGGCTCAGCTGTGGACAGGATGAGCTCTTTAAAAAGCCCCAATTTTTTGTTACAACTTTTCAGACTAGGAATGAGGCAGGCATTGAAACAACAAAAAGGATAAGTTATCGGATTGCATTGGCTGGAAGAACACACAATAAAGCCTTGTTTGGAGGGAAAAGCACTGAAGGAAATCGTACTCCTGCCACTTGCAGGGATTTAGGAAGCCGAGCAGCGGAGATGTGGTTTTGCCTTACAGATGGAAGCGGTGTCGTTAGTCTCTGCCTTGCTTGTGCTCCCGTGGGGTCTGTCCAGTTGTGGAAGGATTCTGAAAAATGAACAAAGCGAGCTTGTCACCTCAGCTACTGCAGTTTGTGTCCCCACTGTGAGCTTGACAGGGCCCCAAAACTCAGGGGTTTCCTGGTGAGATCAGAGGTGGCACGAGCAGCATGACTTTCTGATGTTTGCAGTGAAGCGTGTTAGCCTTCATTTGGAAGGCACGCATTAACTCTCTGAACCAACGTTTTCCAAAAGTCCAGTTGTGGAGTTTCAAAATCATGCAGGGCTAAGCAATCGCTCAAAGCATTAGATGGACCGAGAGGTTTTAATGTAGTGAGGTACAGAAGGTTTGTTGACAAGGTTCCAGATACACACTGTAACCTTTAAGAAAGGTTAAAAGCTAGTTAACCTTTGAATTTTGCAGAGGCATTGTCGGAAAAGACTGAGAAAATACCATTCTCTTTTCCCAGTACTTTGCTGTGTGAGTTTGGGTTTTCATACTTCAATCAAAGAAACAGATTGAGTGCACAAGCGGGTCTGAGAGTCTGGCTGTCTTCTATGAAGACAGATATCAGAATTTTGTTAAATATAGATATGCTAGCATATTTATTGTTGAATGAATTAATAAAAATGTTAAACATTTATTGGTATTGATTCTTCTCTTCCCTTTCCTCTCCCTTCCCTCCTTCCTCTCCTCAGTTCTCTTCTCCCTCCCCCTCCCCGAGTGCTTGGGGTTGAACCCAGGGCCTTGTACCTGCTAAGCAGGTGCTCTGCCACTGAGCCGCAGCCCCAGCCCTTGGTTTTGACTTTCTATACTGCCAATATCAATTTTGCGGCCCTCAACTTTTAAGTGTAAAGGAGTCTTAAAAGTAAAACTTTGAGAATTGCGGCCTCGTTAACAATGGAGACAGATCGTGAGTATAGTGGATTAAGTCATGGTCAGCTTGAGTACAAACGCCCGGCTGAACTGAGTCAGCGAGGTTCCGGGCGTGGGCGTGGAAGACCCACCTGAGGATTGCTGCCAACAGCATAAAAGGAGAGTAGAAAGGGAAGATACAGGCTGCCAATTTCCCAGGAGAAGCTTGGCGTGGCTGGTTTTCCCAATCCAACTTGCTGTTCTTGTCGGAGGAGCTCGGGGCCTTGCTGTCGCTGGGAATGGCAGCTGCTCTCCTCAGGGGAGCTCTGGTCTTCACCATGAGCATCACTTCCTGGCTCCAGTGCAGCTCCCCCAGCCTTCCGGCGTAGATCCTCTGCCTGCCAGCACAGACTCGCTAGCTTCCACCCCTGGGCTTCGGGCCTCTGGTGCAGACCCTTGGTATGGACTTGCCTGAGACATCGCCGTGGGACCCAGGCCCGCGGCTGGATGCTTCAGGGCTCTAGTGCACGGACAGATCTCTTGCACTCTTCTGCATTTGACTTTGGGGTGAATACTATAAGATACTCCTATAAATTTATGTGTCCTATATCGAATCCATTCCCTTGCAAACCCTGACTACAGCAGTGAGAATGTGGGTATAGTTTCATCCTTGTGGGAAGGTGATAGTGCTTACGGATGGTGCTGATGTCCCTGGGGCACCATTGTGTGTGCTGCCCATTGCCACAGAAAGGAGGTTCCCAAAGTGGCCCTGTGAGGGGCCTTTCCTGGGACAGGGCCCTAGGTTACCCCCCTTCCAGTGCTGGCCCAGCCAGGAGGCCTGAGGTCCACCCAGGGCAGGAAGGGCAACTTCCATTGCCCATGTAGGAGTAGCCAGGATGAAGGGCCACAGGTGGTTTGCAGAGCTGAGGACCCCCCAGAAGCTGCTGGGGCTCTACTTGCCTTATTTCTGTGTACTACAGAAAAAAAATCTGTGGCTCCTAAGAGTGTGAAAGCATGTTTTCAGAACCAGGATTTTGTTTTATTTTCGATTACTGGGACCTGGCGATGAGCTGGGATTGCAGGAAAGTGTCTGCTACTCTGGTTGTAACCACTGTAAGTCTGCCCAAGGTACTAAGTTAAGTTCGGGTTTCACTGCGAATGTGTTGGGCTGTGACTTGTCAGCCTTTCCCTCCACACTGCAACATAGAAGACAGCTGGGGTATTAACCCATTACCGCTAGGTGACCTTGGAGGCTCGCAGACCCTCACAGGGAAGGGACCCCTTGCACATGAGTGTAGCCTGCACAGGTCAAAGTGGAGGGTGCTGTAGCCTGTTTCTGGGGGAGCCGGGTAGTTGGTGTCAGAAGCAGCAAAGGGAGTGGCTGGCTGTGGGTTGCTCTGACCGCTTGCCTGGGTGTTGGGAACAGAATGGGGAAGGTGGGTTTCCCAAGCTGTGTGTGACCTTGAGGCCAGGCCGGACTGCAAGAACAACTGGAGTTTGAGCTAATGAGAAAGAGGAGCTGCCAGGGTTGGACAAACATTTGTCACTTTGGAGGCCAGGAGAAAATGGCTTTTCTAAATGATTCTTTAGAAGGATATAGCAGTATAACAAGAATTCTTTACAGCTTACTAAATATTGCTGAGGATATTTTTCTCGTAACCATCTGCTCTTCTAGTCTGGTCCGTCCAAAGACAACATCTGGGTGTTACTGGGGATTTCCGAGCACGGTTTAGTCTGAGACCTGTTTGTGCCCTTGGGTGGCATGTGGACCAATGTGGCAGAAATCGAGAGCCTTCCTAGGACCCTCGGGCTGGTGTTCAAGAGCTGAGCTCTCTGCGTTCCCCGGAAGCCGGATCCTGATACACTGAGACCCCACACCCTCACTTCCTGGTCCTCAGTTTTTTGTGCCCATGACTGAAGAATTCAGTCAAGACACATAAGCCATGTGGACATAAGTAGAATTTATTGTAAAGTAGATTGTCTCTTTTGCGGGGGGGCATGTTTGAGACTGGGTCTCACTGTGTAGTTTAGGCTGGCCTTGAACTCACTATGTAGCCCAGGCTGGCCTTGGAACTCTTGGTGATCCTCCTGCCTCAGCCTCCTGAGTGCTGGGATTACAAGCATGCACCACTGCTCAGTTTTAAAGTCTAATTAACTGGCAAGGCATGCTGCTTTGGACACCCTGCCCCATCTGTCCCTCGGGCCTGCTGATATCCACCTGCCTGCCTGGTATCTGTGCAGTAGCCCCAATGCCTCAGATCCCTGCTGGTGTCAGCACTGTGCAGTCTGATCCGAATCTCACTGGCCCTTCATGTGTGAGCCACAGTTCATCCCTTTATCACAGGCCAGGCCACAGCAGGCACAGGACTGGCTTCCTATCCAGCTGACAACTGAAGTGTTAATAATGTCAGTGAAAGAGGTCCTTTCTGGGAGCTGGGAGATCAGGATTACCTGGCTAACCCTGCACCCCCTTTTTCCAGGGTATTTGAGAAGCAGATGCTGGTGGTCAGGATGCTGAGGCCCATAGTGGGTGGCATGGTGCGGACCCTGGCCTGCAGAAGCTGCACCGCCATCCTGCCGCCTGTCCTGCCAGTCCGGGTTCTAAGCAGCTCCCCTGTGCAGACTCCAACAGATGCCCATTTCCACTCTGCCTCTTCCTCGGAAACTGGCCCTCCTCGGGTCTTAATTACAGGTGCGTTCTTCTACCACCTTCCTTCCCATTTGTGGCTTGAGTGCCACTTTCCTTGTGTTGCCTTTGGCTTTGAACATGTGACGTGCCACCAGGACCTCCCCGGGGCAGCTGTCCCGCAGCAGGTAAAGGCAGCCAGAGCAGGCCGGGCCGGATGACGTCCAGGCTGGTGTGAAAGGGGCTGTGGTGTGAGAAGGCCCTCAGTGTGAGGCCTCCCTACGCCATCATGTTTACCAGAGCTGCTGACCTCTCTTTATTCATTCGATGAGGCCTCCCCTGCCCTCAGCTTTCTGTAGAACAGTGCAGAGTCCAAATCTGCCCTCACCACTGCTGCCCGCACTTGGTTTCCCTGACAAGATTTTTTCTGTTGCCTGGAAGGACCTGAGAATTCAGGGCCAAACTGCTCCTATGAGGACCGGCCAGGGAGTGGAGGCAAAGGGAAGGAAGGAAGGGTGTAGGAATCAGAACGTGGATTCTGGACCCACACGCATCTTTCCATTCCCACTCTGGGGCTGGTCCCAAACTGTCAGTGCAGCATTTTGGAAATAGAGAGGCTGAGGTAGCACCTGCCCTGCGAGTGTCATACGCAGCTCGTTATCACCTGGTGGACTCCCAGATCTTCAGTCCTCATCCTCGGTCCGCTCCTGTGGCCCGATTCTGTGCCCTGCAGGCTTTGTGATGTCATTCCCAGACCACTTCCTGTCGTGCCAGCTACTGCTCATTGACAGATGTGTTTTATTTCCTGCTGCTCTGCCTGGTTTTCTTCTTTGGCTTCATCTTGCTGTCCTCACTCCTTCCACCTCCACAAGGGCATCCCCAGGGGCACAGATGCTCCTGGAAATCCGCCACATGACAGTCACAGTGCTCCTCCCCTGGATGTGCTCCAGGCCCTGGCTTTGCCATTTCTCTCTGGGGCATTTGGAAGCTGTACTGTCCCTCTTCCACTTTGTCGGTGGCTCCTCACTCATGGCATCCTCTGCCCTTTCCTCATGACTTCCTGCTCTTTCTCCCCTCAGTGCCCTCAAACCCCAGCCCAGTGCCCAGTGCGGATGGAGGTGGGATTCTGGGTGGTCCCTCCAGAGCTTTCTGCCACACTGTCATTACACAGGATTGAGGAGGTTCCTGAAGCTGAGATAAGCAATCTAACCTGCCCTACTCGTGCAGTAGGTTTAGCAGGTTTGCTGGCTCTGCTGACTCCTTTGAGGAAAAAGAATCTTAGGATGGGTCAGTGAGAGGCCCAGGAGGGAAGGGCTTTCTTGGGCAGAAATTCAGAGGTGTGCACTCAAAGAAATAGAGGACATTTATGCTACTCTTGAGGGGCTGGAAACCCCAGGAAAAGGCGGCCTCTGCCCCAGAAGGGTACTGGCCCATTTTACAGGTGTGAGCCTGATTTTTTTTTTTCTAAGATAGGTGATTTAAACATTCTTGGACTCTCTCAACCTGTTCCTTTATCTTAGGATCAGGTTCCTGCTCTGTACCTTCTCAGTGAAGCCAGTCCATGGACTGAAGGTGTTCCTGAGGAGTTTGGGTGTGCTGGGTCTGGAGGGAGAGGAGCCTAAATTTTGTGAAGGGAAGCTGATAAGGGGGTGCATTGGGCGACTTTGACGGGGTCCGGACGTTGCAGTCTTCTTACAAGTACGGTATTTTAGTTGCCATTTCCTCGGCTCCCTTCCCCCTACCTTGTATTTCTTCCCTCCTACCCCAAAACCATTTGTGCTTGGTGCTGAACGTTTCTGGCACCGGCAGCATATGAGCTTCTGCGCTGTCCCATCCTGAAGGCCGGGCTGAGTTCTGCACGCGGGCCCAGCAGCAGGTGGCTTTTCTTGTGCCCTGGCTTCCCCTTCACGCTGGAGGGTGTCTGTCTCTGACACTGTCCCCAAGGGGTCTCTGTCCTGGCTGACTGGGGATCGTTCCGTGCTCCCAGTGCAGTGCCATTTGCTGAGAAGAGTAGCGGCTGGCCCGAGACCCACCAGCCCAGACCAGGGTCCCATCCAACCCCTGTTCCTTATCACCTTCTGGGAGTGATCGAGCTGGCTAGATGTGGATTACAGTTGCACTGTTTTTCTTCTTCCTCTAGGGGGTCTCGGCCAGCTGGGAATGGGCCTTGCCAACCTTTTGCGGTAAGAGCTTTACGAGCTTGAAACTGAAAATCTGAGTTCCTACATGTGCCGCTCACTTTGGCATAGCATAACCCTCTTTCTCCCTCCTCCCGCCCCAGCCACTCTTAAGCTACCACATCTCACTGGCTGCTGAAAACACATGTTTTGTCTCCTAACGCTGCCACGGGCCTGTGGCTCAGTCCCTCTGGCTGGACCCTCGCTCCTTGCTAATAACTTAGGCGAAGTGAGACTCCGGCCCTGGTGGCCCCTTGACTTGTAGTTGTCTGGGGCAGAGAAGGGAACCGTGTGGGCTTTGGAGTGAGTGGGATGGAATACCGAGGAGAGAGAGGTAAAAACTCCCACAGTACGGAAGAAATTGGTGACAGAATAGAAATAGAAGATGAGGGCCGGGGGGGAGGCCTGAGCGTTCGTGGTTCCAGGGTGTCTGGGTGAAGAGGAACTCACAGTTTCTATTTAACAGGACTTGTGTGTGTGTGTGTGTGTGTGTGTGTGTGTGTGTGTGGTACCAGGGATCGAACTTGGGACCTTGCGTTTTGGAGGCAGGCGGCGGAACCACTGAGCTAAATCCCCGGGCCTTAACAGGACATTTTTATCAGGATCTGTTGCCCCTCAGTGTCGCCAACTTGCGTGTTCTGGCTTTCCCTTTAGGAATCGATTTGGGAAGGACAATGTGATTTTGTCAGACATAAAGAAACCCCCCAGCCATGTCTTCTGTAGCGGTGAGTGGCCCATATACCTTGATGCTGGTTTATTCTTAATTCTCAAAGTACAGTTAAAGAGGCGGCCCATGGAATCAGTGTGCAACGGCTCAGAACCAGGCTTGAAAACAGAAGTTACTGCATAGAAGTATTTTCTGTTTTTTAATGTTGCTGCTGTTCAGGTGATACAAAAACAGGAGAGCTCTTTGGAACTTGAAGGAAAATTTAGAATAATATCTTTGATATTATTTGGAATAGTATCTTTGTAATAAAATCTTTGGTTCCTGCTTTTTGAGTTTTTAGTTACAGCTCGGAGAGAACACAAAAATCAAGTTCTCTGATGAGGAAAAGGGATTTTTAAAATTTGGAGAAACTAATCGTGGTGTTACAGTGTAAAATGAATTGATTTTAAGCTACTGCACACACACACACACACACACACACACACACACAAACCTCAGATTCCCCGAGTGAATCTTTCTACTGCCTCAAAAACATCATTAAGTCGGCGTGGTGGCACATACATATCTGTAACCCCAGCACTCTGGGAGGCTGAAGCAGGAGGATCACAACTTTGAACTCAGCCTGGGCAATTAGCAACTGATCAAAGCCCTGTCTCAAAATAATAAAGTTTAAAAGGAGCTGTTGATGTAGCTCAGTGCGAGGGCGAAAGTGTTACAGTGTCTCTTGTCCTTGGGCCCCGCCTTCTGCCAGTTGCTTAACTTCTTTCGCACCTCATTTCCTCATCAGTGAAATGCGCTCACCTCCAGGGCCCCGAGAGGGTGAACCCCGCACGGCCCAGCCTGGGCCCCAGCGCGGTCCTGCAGGGCAGCAGCTGTCCTTGCCTGTGGGGTGGCCACGGCCTGTGACTGCGTCAGCAAAACGCAGTGATTCCCAGTGGGAACCTGCGAGCCCCAGCCTGTTCGCTCTGCGGCTCCTTCTGTCTTCCTCCCAGGCCCGTTTGTTTACGCCGACGTCTTGGACCGACAGAACCTCCGTGAGATCGTGGTGAACAACCGCGTCACCTGGCTGCTGCACTACAGCGCTCTGCTCAGCGCCGCGGGCGAGGCGAACGTGTCCCTGGCCAGAGCTGTGAATATCACCGGTGAGAGTCAGGGTCCACTCCAGCCCAAGCGGATTGGTTTTCCCAGCTGCCTGTGAGAAGAGATTCTCCCCAGGGTGTGAGAATATCTGTGCATTTCAGGGTTGCACAACGTTTTGGACATCGCAGCAGAACACAACCTGCGACTGTTTGTCCCCAGCACGATTGGGGCGTTTGGACCTACCTCTCCCCGGAACCGAACCCCTGACCTCAGCGTGCAGAGACCCAGGACCATCTATGGGGTGTCCAAGGTCCACGCGGAGCTCATGGGGGAGGTAAGTGTTACTCACAAGATTGCCAAGTGTGTGGGCACCAGATGACTCCCAGGGTCCTTTCCCATTCTTTTCCCTCAAGCACCGCTGGTCCTTCCATGTGGGTCTCTCCCTCCTCCAGCCTGGCCTCCAGGGTGCTTCCTTACCTCACGTGTTTGCTAAGTGGCCCATGCTGGTGGCCCCAAAGAGCTCAGCCATGGCACAGCTGCCTCTGGCATGGCGATGCCAGCATTTCCCGTCCGCTCCCTGTCCTTGGGTTGCCGCATGTCCCCTCTGAGTGGCTCTGTTCTCTCAGGTTCCTGGTGTTACTTGTTACTCGTGGTAGCTTTACAGCTTTCTACAGAAAACCTCACACATCTTTTTGGGTTGGTTTTGCTTTGTTTTACTACCACTCTGTGTCTCTATAACTAACTGCAGTTTAGTCAGTGACCTGTTGCAGTCATTGCTCTCTGATCTCTGCCTTCCCCGCCCCACTGTGGTTCTGGAGGGCAGGAGCTTTCGGTGCAGAGTTCAGGACAAGGAGAGAGGCTGCAGATCCCTGCTGGGATTTACTCTTCACAGTGTCAGTGTATCATCGAGATGGTGATTCGTTGAAGATAAAGAGTTGAGTGTTTCTTAAAGACTAGTGGAAAGTGTGAAATCTTCATTTTCTTTAGGAGGGTTTGGACGTAACTATCAAAAGGTAGTTCAGAAGCTGGGTGTGGTGGCACATGCGTGCCTCAGTCCCAGCACTCTGGGAGGCTGAGGCAGGAGGATCCCAAGTTGGAACCCAGCCAAAGATGAAAAAGAAAACAGGGCTGAGGGGATAGCCCAATACAAAGGCCCTGGGTTCAGCCCCCGTATCCCCCACGGAGAGGAAAAAAGATATTTCAGAAGAAAGCTGTTATTTCTTTTTCTTTTTCTTTTTCTATTTTTTTTTTTTTTTTGGTACCAGGGATCAAACTCAGGTCCTTGCGCTTGTGGAGCAGGTGGGGAAACCACTGAGCTAAATCCCTGGCCCCGAAAGCTGTTCTTTCTTTGCTTTGTTCCATCAGATTTAAGATACCTTTTTTGAGTAAGTTTTCTTGTTTTCCTAGTATTACTGTCACCGGTATGGGCTTGATTTCCGGTGCCTGAGATACCCTGGAGTCATTTCCGCTGACTCCCAGCCTGGGGGAGGAACGACAGGTGAGCTTGGTCTCTGAGTTCTCGTGCCTGTGACACAGGCCTCTTCCGGTCCCAGGAGGCTACTTTGGGATGGGTGGATGTGCTGTCTCTTTCCCCAGTGCCACCCAAGTTCCTGTGCCCTCTCCCGATGTGAATTCCAGATGCGCCTTGTACCTGTCAACTTGCCCTCGTTCAGGGGTGTGTGCTGGTATCATCCATCGGCCGCCGATGTACTGGCATCAAACATAATATGCAGGTCGAATGTGTGAACACACAGGAAGACCCCAAAGCATGGCCTCTTTCTTTGAATACAGCCTTGTGTCTTGGTCCGGAGAGAGCTGTCTGCACCAAGTGTTTGAAGGCAGCTTCTGCAGCAGCTCCTTTGCACTCGGGTGCATTGTGCTCCGCAGCCTTCACACGGGGATCCTTCCCCTCTCAGTGGTCCTGAGATGCACTAGAAAAGACGCTTGACAGAGTCTGCAGGATTTTAAAGAGTCTTTGGTTTGCGTCACTTTTAAAAAGCTTTTGCCTTCATACAGGGCTTCCCCAGGTGTGGCCCAGGGGCCCTAGGTGTCCTTGCCTCTCTTTTGTGGGTCGAGGAGGTGACAACCACTTTCATATCGGGACAGAGACATTACTGGGCGTTTCCCCTCCTCCCTTCACAAGAGCACTGAGGGGTCCCCAGGGCTGTGGCCCAGGGACAGCAGCAGCAGCAGCAGGAGGAGGAGGGGACACTGCCTGTGTCCCCCCAAGCCCGGCACTGCAAGACTCAAAATGCAGGCAGACTGTTCTCAGCACATTTTCTTTCCCATATCACATGTTAATATAGGTTTATTATTGTCACTCTGGAATGTAGTAATACTTTTTTAAGTCTTGGTTGTCTGTGTAAGACAGCGTAGACCTAGCTTGCAGTGGTTGTAGGTCAAGACTAAGACACCTGAGGGCCACTGCCTCTGTCCCAGGCGCTGCTTTGCCTTGTGGCAAGGAACCCAGTCGGGACTCTCTTTCAGACTACGCTGTCCAGATTTTCCACGATGCTGTGAAGAGGGGCAAGTTCGAGTGCAACCTGAGACCCAGCACCAGGCTCCCAATGATGTACGTGGACGACTGTCTCCGGGCCACCCTGGAGGTCATGGAGGCCCCGGCTGAGTCCTTTTCCATGAGGACCTACAACGTCACCGCCATGAGCTTCACCCCCGACGAGCTGGCCCAGGAGATAGCCAAGCACGTGCCCGAGTTCCGCATCACATACTGCGTGGACCCTGTCCGGCAGGCCATAGGTGAGTCCCCAAGGGCTGGCCACCCCCAAGCCCAGACAGAGCCTTCTGGGGTTCCCGCCAGCCCCGGCCCAGGACACACCCGGAGCTTGGAAGGTGAACAGCTCTCTCCAGGCTGACACTGCTGCAGAATTGGCTGTTGTTGAGCTGGTGAACAGACGCTGGGCTTGGGGGAGTGGTGTCAAGTAGATGACATGACTCCGTTCCAAATAAGCAGGTAAAGGCATTGCACTGTTTAGCGGTTTAAAGGCAAAGGAAAAAACCCAGCATTGGGTTTTCCTATACTGTAACTGCTGCTTTTGCCCTCTTGGGTGGGAAATGCCTGCCTTCAGAATTGCTTGCGGTTCGCAATGTGAAAGTCACAGCCACTGACGTCGTGATGCAGTCTGGTCCTGTGAGGAGGTGACTGTGGACACGGCCATTCTGCCCCTCTACAGGGCTGCCCTTTCGTGCACCTTGTACACCAACAGGCGAATAAAATGCCCTGTACCGTTTGCGACTCCAGAGCCTGCGTAACCCAGCCGCCTGCCTCTCTCCCCAGCCGACAGCTGGCCCGTGAGCTTGGACGACAGCATGGCACGCAAGGACTGGGGGTGGAAGCACGACTTTGATCTTCCCGAGCTGGTGACAACAATGCTGAGCTTGCATGGTTGCGACACCCGGATTGCCCAAGCCAACTAAAGGCGTCAGAGGAGCTGCTCCCAGGTCCTGCAGGGCCACGAGGGACAATGGTCAGGACTCCAGGGAGCCTATGTTCCTTGGAATGGGATGACAGATCAGGCTGGGTGGAGGGTGGCGTTAATTGGAGGGTTTCCAAAACACCATGGGTTTAGTGGGAGGGCTTCAGGCATAGCCTGAACTGTGTCCCTGACCTGGTCTGAACACCCATGCCACGGTGGGGAGACCTAGGACATAATCAAGATGAAGGACCATTTCTGGAAAGGTAAAGTGTGCTACATGTGTACTTAATCTAAATTTCACCCAAAGGCTCCACTATTCTCTTGACCACAGACCAAAGGTTACATTTTAAAAGCTCCAAAGGATGTATGCAGTATTCTTAATGTCCCATCAGAACATAAAACATGTTTGAACATATTAATCCTATATTCAGCATGTTCAAGAGATTTTAATGCTTCTTCAACAATTACCACTTCTCTTGTATGTTTCTATTGTGTTTTGTTGGTTGGGTTTGGTTTTTTCTTTTTTTTTTTTTTTTGAGACAAGGTCTCACTATGGAGTTCAGACTGACCTTGAACTCACTATGTAAGCCATTCTGGGCCCAAACTCGAAACAATCCTCCTGCCTCAGCCTCCTGAGTGCTGGGATCACAGGTGTGCGCCACCGTAACCGGCTTGTTCGTTGACGGGTTCTCCCAGTGTAGTTCAGGCTGGACTTGAACTCATGATGTAGCCCACACTGGCCTCGAACTCATGGCTATCCACCTGCCTCAGCCTTGTGAGAGCTGGGATTATAGTCATGTGGCACCACCCAGCTCTCTGTATGATGTAGGAAACGGAAGATGTGAAGATGATGTAGCTAATGAAGGGCAGCCTTCTCTTCCTGAGACTCCCTTCCCATCAGGGCACTAAGTCATGTCCACTAGCACTGTGACTCCCTCATCAGCGATGTCAGAACTCCAGGGAGCTTGTCTTGTTGGTGGGGGTTTGGGACTGCACCCCTCAGACAGACTCAGAGGTGGGAGAATCCAGCAAGGAGGGCCCACCAGTCTGGGCCACTTCTGAATGCTGCGTTCTGAAGAGCACTTTCTTGTTGCAGCCTTGCCGGGTTCTCAGCCCCAGCCTGCCCACAGGGGAGCCGCTCCACGCCTTCTGACCAGACTGTTGTGTAGGCATTCAGGTCAAGGCTCAGCTACCTCCTGAAGCCACCTGCCAGGGCACTCTCCACCCCACAGGTCAGCTGTGGCTACACATGATAATGGCCACGGTGGATTAAAAGGCATTTATATTATGTGTCAATGACAATAAATAAATTGTTATGCATTTGGAACTGTTAGGTTGCAGTGTGAGTTTTTTGGAGCCATAACCGGGTTTAAAATCTGTTTGACTTAATTGGAGAACTTTAGGTCATTGCATTAATTGGCCACCCTTAATCTCAGTCTCCTACAAAGTCTCAGGACATGAGCCAAGTATAGACAAATTTCCTGCCAGAGCATAACACAAATGATTGGGAGTCCAACTCTCAATGGAGTTCTTGTTTCCAACTGAAACTTCCTGAGGTTGGTCTTTACCAGCTGCATTTCTACCAGCATTCTGGTCTTCTGAGCTCTGACCAGAATCTCCCATTGAGGCAGGAGATTAGGGCATGGCAAAGCTGGCTGGGGAAGTAGGCATGACCTGTTGATTACAAAATCCCAGGACACATGCGCAGAACAGTTCCCAGAGCCCTGCACATGGACTTCTCTCAAGAGCTCGAGCAGTTTCAGATAGGATGGCCTAGACTTGACATCAGCCGGAGTGTGAGATACAAAAACGTTGACATTGAGCTCCCACTACTGTGTGCTTTCACAGTAGTTCTGAAATGGAAAAAACGAGAGCAGAGACTGATGTCTCAAGGCTGACAGTCTAAAGTTTGCCCCTCCCACTAAACCCACGAAGGTCACTGTGCTCGGAAGATGAACAGCTGAAACACAGCTGCCTACCTCCCTGTGTCTTAACGATAAGCTGTAAATGGGGCTGGGGATTTAGCTCAGTGGCACTGTACCTGCCTTGCAAGTGCAAGGTCCTGAGTTCAATCCCCCTTACCAAAAAAAAAGATAAGCTGTAAAAACATTTACCTCCCTACTCTTTGCTAAGTTCTGCTTCTGTAAAATTCTGCTTGTTCCCTAGCCCTGGCTGAAGAACAGACAAATATGAGGACAAACAGAGAAACAAACAAATGGGGCTCAGACTCTGGAAGGTGACTTCCACTGGGCCCCTAGCTAGCGAATAAACCTGCCTTTCCCTTCGATACTCTGAGGGCCACTCGCTCTCTTCCTTGGTCTGCCTGCCCTCTGAGTGCCATTTCAGTTCACCCTCATGCTATAGGTGAACTTTTACTTGGCCAGCATTCGCCCTGCAGAGCATGTTTCTTTTCCTACCTTTACTAAATGTAAAACTTTGCTACCATTTGTGCCTGCATTGGCCAATTCTTTGTTCAGGCCAGAAGGAACCTAGAAACCACTTCTAAAAGATTTCAGCACCCCAAACCCAGTAATATCATCAAGCTTCACTCACAGCATTCCAGGGCTGCTGCTTCCAAACTTCCACACTTTTCCAAACCTTTCCAAACTCCTCCCATGGACAATTGCAAAGGCTCCTGAACCACATGGTCAGGTAGACACAGCAATGACCCCACTCGCAATATCAAAATCTGTCTTAGTTATTTTCCTCATTGCTGAGATACCCACAACTGTACGGAAGAAGGGTTTATTTTAGCTCACAGTTTGGAGGTTTCAGTCCATGGTTGGCTGCCTCCATGGCAGGGCAGAGGGGCGTGGCAGGAAGAAGCAGTGAGACAGATCAAGGGCAGACTAATCTACTGATGAGTATCACCCCAGGATCCACCTCCCCCAAACCTGCAGGAATGCATGTGCCTTTGGGGGACATCTAGATATAAACCCTAACGGTGGGCTTTGGGATTAAAACACACACACACACACACACACACACACACACACACACACACAGAACGAGCACTTGCCTCTTCTCTGGAGTTGTTCATCCTGAGGAAGTGCTTGGTCACCAGTGCGGATATTAGTCTGCTGAAGTGATTCTGTGTGGTATTG